AAAATTGACGATATCGTGAACTTTATATCGTGAACTTTTCACGATAAAATTCACGATATCGTCAATTTCATCGTGAAAAGTTCACGATAAAGTTCACGATATCGTCAATTTCGTGAATTTCTTCGTGAAAAATATGCGATAAAATTGACGATATCGTGAATTTTATCGCATATTTTTCACGATTTAGTCTATTCGCGATGTCCCTTCAGGGCCACCATACGTTCGTCATGATAACATAAACAATGGAATTGATAATTTCTGCTTTTTAGTATGTTTTATCCTGTCGTTTTGACTAGTTCGGCATGTTCAGTAGTCCCACTAATGGAATGTTTGACTCATAAAAACTGTATACCCAACGTATTGTTTTATGGCAAGGGGTACTGGGAATATCAGTCTCCCCCCCTCTCTCTCTCTCTCTCTCTCTCTGTATATATATGATATATATATATATCACTTTCCCATTATCTTTCTCGTACACGTTTATCTTATACTGGCAAATAATGGAAATGGCCTTTGCGTCAGATGTTGAGTGTTCGCGTGTTCAACGAAACACAGTAGGCCTAATCGGTAAATCGGATGTGCGCTTTGAATCATTGCCAGAAATACGAACTTGTGATAGTTGTTCATTAAAACATGATAATAGGGTTTATGAGTACTTTCGGAATATTTTGGATCAAGAAATTATAGGTTTGATTCCAGGAGTATGGTCTCTATGATAATTCTACATTATTGTTCAGTATATGAGTTGTATACAAAAGGTATATGCTCGATAGCTTTTCATATGTCTGTGTTCGCTCATTATCTCCTTCTTTATTTTCCTCAACCTTTTCAAACTTCATTTTTTTTTGGTACCCATCGGACTGAAACTTACATATTTAGGTCGATTGTTTTGCTTTTACTTTGGAGCAAACGAAACGAACTTTTTTTTCAAGATCTAGCGAATAGAAAGTAAAAATATAGGCATAAAATCACATGGAAATCGATGGTACCAAACGTACTTCATTATCATGAATGGAGACGAAAGAAGATGGTGTTTTAAAATAAATGAAGAAAAAGAGAGGGGAGAGAGAGAGAGAGAGAGAGAGAGGGGGGGGGGGAGATTATGAGCGCATGGGGTAATTTGTTAAAGGGGATTCAATTGAGAAAAGTGAGAAAGGTGAATGTTCGTCGATCACTGACGTCAGAGTTTTCCACAAATCACGGTTGTTTACACAATGAACATGGTCTTTCATGTTCAAATTCAACATACTACGTATATCGTTTTCTGGGTCGTGCGACGTAAATCAACGCGAGCCCAGATGATGGAATAACCATGATGACGTTTGCTCCGGTCAGACATGATACAACGTTGGGGTACCCTGGTTCGATAGGGAGAGGGGACGGGGGGGGGGGCAATCGTCATCAAAAGAAAAATGAGAGAATTGTATAAACAAATTAGATGAGCTGTCTTCTGTTAACGCATAGTTCCAAGATGTGTTTCTGTATAGTTTAGCAAACAGTAGTTTTGAAAGTGATTTTGGCGCTGACAAGAGGGGAACATCATATTCCCAGCTGAAGGGGGCGTGGCGCTTCTACCAGTGAAACTTATCACCCCATTGGCTGGGCCTTCGAGCAACACCCATTTTATTATCTATATAACAGACTGATGATGGGATCGCTTAAATTGTCAAGAAGTTGGTGGTTGGGTACACAATTCCTGATTATTTTTCTCAACATGTTTGCAACGCTCAAGCAATGCTTTCGAGGAATATCTGATACGAGTTTGAACAGGTTAGTTTTCTAGGTTTTAGGGCAATGTAGACTGTTGTGATACTCCTGATGTTTGGTGTCAAAGTATAAAATCATTCATTTTGGATATTGTCGCTTCGTGAAATGTTGGTAAATGTTTACGATTCGGATGAGACTATATAGTACAAGACGTAAACAAGTAGACCCATTCAGAAATACATTCAAATTTGTGGACGTTTCTTCTTCGAGAGCCGAGACACCATATGTTGCGGCCACTGGATTGATAGAAGGTATCGTATTTCAATATTCCGGAAGGCAATTGCATGGAAGTAGTGGTTGCTATGTCGGGCGACAAGCATCCGGCAAGCTATAGGGTCGTGTACTAGTAACCTTTCCTGGCTGCTTGGGTTTTATGGGGGTGCTTGAGATCTTTTGTTAAGGTAATGGGGTCAAAAGATGTGCAATGTGTAGAGATGTTGTTGCTAAGTCAGGGCAACATCCGGCAATGTTATTGATGATCACTACACGTCATTCTTTTTTTTATTTTCCTGCCATTACCTTCGCGATCTTTGGGGGTGTTTGTGGTCGTGTTTTAAGGTGTTTGGGGGCAGGTGTTGCGACATCTGTGGAGGTGTTGTTGCTATGTCGGGGTAATTATCCGGCAATATTTAGGATAATCAACATTACTAATTTCTTGACTCATCATGACTTAACTGTCGTGATCATTTGAGGGGGGGGGGTAGGGTCTTGGCTCGAGTTGTCATAGATGTTTATGTACGAATCTCAGCCTCTTATCCTTTCTTAAGAAATGTATAGTCTCCATGTGCGGCTGTTGAAGTATACGCTGTATTTTTGTGCGACTTATTAGGGTAAGGGTTAGGGTTATCTAACAATACATTTAATCTAGGCTCAATTCGATTTGCAACTTGCTGGAAAAGTTATACGACGCTTACTCCTGCAACAATATTATTGCTCCGCGCTTATTTCTTACACTAATCAGATTTATAAATTAAACCCTTGACCCAACTCTATACCTTACTCTAAATCTAACCCTAAACCTATGCGAAAACCCAACTGCAACTCTTTCCTAAAAGGGTTGTTCAGATACGAGCCACCGAAGAAAAAAATACCGCCGCGGTTGTTTTAGGTGTAAATGAATGCCACCTGCGCGCAACGTGTAATCGTACGTATTCACTTAGCTATGCGTTATAAGATTCAGAAATGTGAAATGTATTGCACTATCCGTCATCTTTTATAACAAAATGATGATTAAAAAAACAATTAAAACTTTTTTTTGCCGCGTCATATCTGAAGGAACCTTTACCCTTTATTTTTGACGAAATACAGCCTGGATCAATTGTCACGGCAGAAAAATCTTTGAGCATGTATAGAAAAGACCTCCTTAGCCGTGCATCACCTCAACGAAATCGAAAGAGGTCATCTTAAATTGAAAATCACTTTCATATCATCAGTTAGTACATCACTAATAATGAAAGAAGATCGTAAATAAAGATTTTGTTTAACTATATGATTTGTTTTAATTTGAATTTTTTGTTTCCGTTTCGAGATTTAACAGAATATTATGCGGTGGTATAGGCCAAACACCTGTTTAGCTGGACAGTCTTCATTGGAAGCGATACTCTGGCTAAATGGCTGTGAAGGGGGAAACCCTTTAAAATCCTCGGAGCAAATGGCTGCTTTTTGGATTATGAAATGTGTTCTTGTGTCTAGATGGTCTGCTAGACCGTGGTGACTGTCTTTCATCGTAATGATCGTCCCGCCAGATTCTTTAAAACTACTGAAATAATGTAACGTAGATTTTAAAATAATAGAAGACTAAAACGACTGTGTGTTTTGACGATTTATGACTTTTATCAGGAAAATGATTTAGTTTTGATTCATAATTCGATTCGAAAATGAGATCCTTCTGTAATTAGATATGTTCCGGTGACCAGGGGGTGTTTCACAAAGATCCTAAGTCGAACTTAACTCTAAGTTGAACTTAAATATAATATGGAAAGCCATTTGTAGCTTTAAAATAAAATATATTCAACTAAAATGTTCAAGTATTTTAGACTTTTCATAAATTACACATCAAGAACATAACATCTCCTTGATAATAGAAAATACGAATGATCATGTTCTGCCTTTTAAAATAACTTCTACAAAATATTTTCAAAGATGCTAACGGCTCTCCATAATTTTTAAGTCCAACTTAGAGATAAGTTCAACTTAGGATCTTTGTGAAACACCCCCAGAAGTGGTAGTTGTTCATTGCTTTTTAACCATCTGAGTTGTGGTTGGTCTTTTGAAACTAAATTACTGATATTCATCTGAGAATTCTTCATAAACCTCATTAACCAAAATTAAATGAATGACTTGTCGTGGCTAAAGCTGAGTTTGCAGTTGTACTTTTTCTGGATATGCGTGATTCGTAAACTCTCAATGAACTTTTGTTCTGAATTCACTAGATGTGATCTAAATATAGTATAATGATGTCATCGCACCAACGAAGAAATGTAAAAGAGATGTACAAAACAGAAGTCTCCGTAAAGTTACCGGCATCTGTTGTGAAGTTTCTTTCCTTTCTCTTCTTTTTCTTCTTCTTCTTCTTCTTGCTTCAGCTGGACAACCTAACCGAGTTTTTAAAAAAAAAGCTTTTCTTCTTTTCTGATTATTACCCCGTTATATTTTTGTGTTATTACACCAGTTTATCAGCTTTGCGGAAAATGACATTTAAAGCTTATCTGCCGTAGTTTACAGGAGGGATTAGACTGCCCTGCAAGGTCACTGGACAGGTGGTTATCTCATCAACTCAGCTCTCAGTTAACATAAGAAAAAGGGGATCATGGGGGACAAATGGTCACCGATTAGGCATTGTTTGTTACATAGAGGGCGCAAGTAGCTACAAGTAGTGCAGTGGGCCTTTAAAGGTTACTGAATTATGCGGCTTTGTGCCTCAACTTCTTCAAACCTGTCTATAGAGACCGCAATTTCGCTCCCTTGAACATTGAGTCTACTGTCTGGTATCATAAAGAGAACCTTACAGAAAGACCTTCTGCTTGTAAGGACCGTCTTTTAGCTCCACTGAGCAGTCCTTTTATATAGTTTTTACGATATTAGTTCATCAATAGTCAGCACAGAGGCATTGGGCACCAGTCACAATATCGCTGCACAAGCTTAGGTTATTTCAGGAACTACAATGAACCTATAATCGTTTTTATTCTTCGTTTTTACATTTGAGTAAATCCAATTTTTCTCTTCTTATACAGCCACACGTCAGCGTCTGAGCCTAATTTAAGCACGACTATTTCAGGCGAGGACGGCAACGCAGAGGAGACTGAACTCGACGAGATGACGAAACAAGCAGACAACCTCCGGAGGGAGTATGAACAGTAAGTAGAAGAGCACATATGAGGAATATGAGGAATATACTCCTTCGTATTATGAATAGCAGTCCTTAATGACCCTGAATTGTGAATAGCGACCCACATTTCACGTAAAGAATAGCGGTCCTTATGAATAATGGTCCTTAAGTCTTTATGAATAGTGTCCCCTTTCCGTTTTATGAATAGCGGTCCTTTAAGTATAAACGAAGTTCCACCTTATGAATAGCGGTCTTTACGTGTATACCCCCTTCCTATACCAGTTAGGTACGATAAACCATCAAACCATAAAGTTTGATCATACACCCTTGTCTACATAGCGTCTCATTTCGAATATGCTATACAGAGTGAGTCAAAAAAAAAGTTTACACCTAGAAAATTGCTAATTATTATATAAATCATCTATGAACAGTAAATTATTATACATCTTATGAAAGAGTGTTTTATCCCGAATCATTTGGTACCATTTTTTGTGTGGTATGTGTTCACGCTTGGGTGAACAGGAGGCATTGTTTGCGACAGTGCAAAAATCGACTTGCGCCAAAGTTGCCTATGTGATGTTTGAATAAAAAAATTTGGGTATTAATTCGGTCTTTGCAGATCCAAATAACACCCCTAACAAAATTAATCATGCCACACATATCAAATATCGAATATCAAATATCAAGGAACATTTGTGTGCGTATGCGTGGGTGTGTGTGACTTTGTCCTTTGCAAAAAACATATGCAATGCACTTCATTTGATACATTCAATCCATTCTCTCACTCCACTAATCCCAACATAATACATACTGAAGGCATCACTTTGACGCAAGTCGATTTTTGCACTCTCGCAAACAATGCTACCTGTTCATCCAAGCGTGAACACATACCACACAAAAATGGTACCAAATGATTTGGAATAAAACACTCTTTCATAAGATGTATAATAATTTAATGTTCATAGATTATTTTTAAAATAATTAGCAATTTTCTAGGTGTAAACTTTTTTTGACTCACACGGTATATTTGTCTTTCATGTTTAAAAATTCCTCCTAACTGCGTGTATTATGTCTTCATGTGTGAGCCTTCACACTTGAATCGACTTGTATGAAAATCTATGAAATCTATACAAGATATATGTGGGTCCTTTTGTTTTTAATTTATATTGTTTTCATACCTTTTTGACGTGAGCGAATCAAGGGAAACATATTGGATGTTATGTCAATTACTGCGATACCATGGTGGACTTTCTACCTAATGTGCTCTTATTCACGCGTTTGTTTCCCACGGTTATGCCAAAGTATCATGTGATGTATTTTGTTCATGTGATCATTATTATGATAGCGTCAATGCCATTGAATGTCACTACGTAATTGTTATATAGTTTTAATCAACAGCTATATCATGGCGTATATAACTTCACGTAAAATATTCCGGTCACACGGCTAAACCGACTTCTAGCTGACCGATAATTCCGGGTACTGTAATGTTGGATCGGTCTGTAGCTATTGGTCTGGTGTCGGTCTCATCGATGTGACAAGATTCTCAACAAATCTAATTCAAATTGACTCAGATAGATATTACAAAGCATTTAAAATTGCTTATCAGTATAGAGTGTGTATGTTTACTATAAGAAGAATTTCGGTTTGTGTTATACATGTAGATACAGATGGTTTGTGCGTATGTGTGTGTGAGGGGCTGGCCGCGGCGGTGGCGGGCTCTCTTGAATTAAAGAAGAGTGTAGCATAAACCTTCAGTAACTGATAATTGTATCCCAAAACTATATTCATGTTGCCGTGAGCTAACTTGCCAGATGTATAACGAAATGAATGAATTAAAAATGAAAAGAATGCCTCAAAAATTCAAATGTTTTCGGCCCTATCCTAAAGAAGACCCTCAATACTTAAAAATGATTGTATTTTTTAGAGAAAGGTGTTGCGTTGTGTTTAAAGAGAACCATACAACACATGGTCCAATGAACTTTTAGAAGAAAGAGTTGCACCGATTAGGATTCTTTAATTTGTAGCATCAAACGCACTTCTTTGAAACTGATAAAATAATTTCACTATCTCAACTAATACGCATGCACTTTTTGAGCGCAGACGGTCGGGGGCTTTGGAAAGAAAACGGAACATGGATTCTGTTAGGTCGGGATATAGTTGTGATCTTTACTGTGTTTTCTAACCAGAAAGTAAACAATAGCGCCATTTTTATTGCAATGTGGGAGGAAAAGGAAATTACGGTTGTTTTAATCCTAGTCAACAGATTGATGTCGATTTGGGTTATGTAAATCTCAACATTTTAACGGGATGTTTTGTTTTTATTCCGGTCGCTGAATTGCACTGCTAGTGTGGGTCAGTATGCGATTGGAGGAAAGCCATGTCTAGCCTGTATTATAGAGACCACATTGAGTTGGGTTTGAGTTTGAGTTTGAAGTTTATTATCCAAAAGGATAAATGGGACCAGAAAATAGCATTTAATGCTAATCGTGTCTAGTACCACTAACACACAAAAAGTATCACAGCAATAAATGAGAATGTAATGAATAAATATGAATAACTATTGAATACATACTTAAGCTACAAACTATTCTACATCTAGGGTAAATATGTTCTGTGCTTATATACAAAGCTTTGGTATTTTACACTAAATAAAAGATGAAGAATTATATAACATAATATTTACAAAAAGGCAAGAGCCTTGGTTCTAAGTTATAAACAACTATTCTATTAACATTTGTGATATAAGAGTTCTACGAAAGCAAGACACTGATGACATTAAGGACCTACTCTGCTTATTTCATGTATGTAAAATGTAAAACGACTATAAACGATGCAGTTCATAATGATATGCAAACAAGACGATTAAAAAATAAATGATATGCAAACAATACCATTCATGAAAAACAATATGTTGATATAGACAAAATTATTCATAAATCATAAAATGTAAGCAATAAAATTCACTATGTAAACTAGAAATAGAGCACAAAGCAATAAAATTCACTATGTAAACTAGAAATAGAGCACAAAGCAATAAAATTGTCGCCAGAGCGTATGTCCATGCATGGAGTAGCCTAGGTCCATTTGGTATGTCGAAGTTCATTGAACCCCTCACTTCAGCAAACATACAGTTCATCAAACCTTTTTTGCCGTCATGACATGATGATTAAGTTAAAGAAAGTTTAAATAAGAACATTTGTTTATCTATCGATCATCATATACCATCTATCCTGTATTCTATTGCGATTAAGTTTCATGTTAGGTTTAGGACTAGGGTTAGGTTTAGCGTTAGGTGAAGTATTGAAGTTAGGCATTTCGTTGGTGTTTGACCGCGGAGCAATTGCAACCCACTTACCCTATACAATCTTTGATGACACGCATGAACGCGCCCTACTCGATTTTCAACCAGGTCTATAGAAAGTGAAACGAGCAAAGTAACATAACTGATGATAAAACTTTTAAAAAGCACAAGGGGAGAGAAAGAAAATCAAATATAAATACAATAACGGTGTCTAGTCGTCAACTTCATGCCTTTCAAATAATGTGTTTTGTAATTGGTCTGTTCCTACACAATTCAAATGTGTGTAAAGCCTAAAATGATCACGAAATCATTTTAAAAAGAGGTTAGCTTATGGGAAGTTCCAAAGAGGAAGGAAATTTCATCTGTGGATCGAATAACCTTCAACATAACGGAGGGGGATGTGTTATTAGGATTCAGGAAGGAACCTTTGATAAATGGGGATATCATTCTTTTGTTGGCCAAAGACTTTATCACTCTTGTACTGCCGTGGTGTTGGGATCTTCTGGTGTATGTAATGAAGAAAGAAAATGAGAATAAAACCCCGATAATTTGAAGCAGAATCCGAAGGAAATGGTTAGTTCCGCAAAGTTGAAAAAAAGCACTCCGATAATTGCAAGTCAAGAAGTTTCACCAGTAATTTCTCTTTTCGATTGCGTAATGGTCATTTTGTTTTATAAAATATCTTAGTGTACTATACTTTTTGTAATAAATTAAAGAACAATATTTAGTATTATTCACTGTCTTTATCATGTGTATCAGTTCATATGCAAAGTATACGTGCATTGTCAATTGTGTTTCTCGTTGGAAAATGCAACATGCGTGTTCGTTTTCACATGTTTTGGATGACAGCAAAGAACCTCGGGTCATGATATTTAATCTCTACCCCCTTAGTCATAAATGTTAGTCATAACACACAATGTTAGAAGGCTGTTGACAGTGTTACATTGCCTTACGACTTTGCAACTGAGGACTACTTTGCAACAGTTACATGCCGAGTCCATGCAGGGCCTTGTCTATACACAAATAAAGTTTGCGATTGATCCAAAAATTGATCGCAATGCCACACAACTCAACAAGTCTGTATTGAGTACAACTACATTGATTCAGTAACATAACGAGTTGTTGATGGCATTTTCTTAGAAGGTGGCGCGATTGGTCCAGATTGATCACAAATCCTCCAATCAATCGCAAATTCTTTTTAATACTATACAGAGTTGTGGTTGATATCAAGATCTCCCAGATGTTTATCTTCTGAAGGGAGGGGGGGGGGGGGTTACGGGTCCCCCAAATCCACCGTTAAGATGGGTAATTTTATTGATGATTATGGATTGATTATTATTCATGTTCTGTCCCAAATATCATGCTTAATGATGTATTCCACGCTCAGAGAATAAAGTCGTACCCAGGTTCTATGTCTCTCGTGCTTCGTATATCATTATGTTAGTATTAAATACAATAGCAATATTTTTTGATCACGCACGGCAAAATGTGATGTCTTTGTTTCAGTAGGAAGTTGCCCTGAGCAACTTTTAAAAAGGAAGTTCCTTTGCCTTTCCTTTTATGCAGTTAATGTTCTCATGTTTCAAGCGTATAGGTATACGGTTTGACCAATGACAAGAAGAAAACATCGGGTAAAGTTCCGATATACTAACCTGATGACGGAAGTTCATCTGAAGGAGTTAGATTTCAAAAAATTCGGTTTCCTGTTGTTTCCATTCTAAATCTAGACCATCGGATTTTTACCAGTGGTAGCAGTACTTCTTGTAGGGGCTCCTAGGACTATCACCCCCGGGCAATCACCCCCCCCCCCCTCCCTGTCCCCTGGAAAATTACTTTTTGTAGGCTATCGGAAAAATGTCACACAACGACAAGTCTTCTATAAAAACATTATGGTGGTTTTGCTCTATAAACAATTGTTTATAGGCTCATGCTTCCTATACTAATGCAATTTTCTTTTTCTAAACGGGGAATATGCTAGGAGAGAGAGAGAGAGAGAGGGGGGGGGGGAGAGGGGGGAGGGAAGAAAGAAACAATGTGCACAATAATCACGATAATAGCGTGGAGACTACAGAATTCACAACTAACATGCACTTGGCACCTATGTGGGGAGGCAGACTGCAAGGTTATGCATTGTTACTTAGAAAATAAATGATCAAACGTGACGAAGGACATAAAAGATCATAGGCACTATACATCCATAATGAATTTGCAATAACTAAAACTTGGCACTCATAACAAGAGGAATATATAATTATGAATTCGTTTAGAGCTATATCAAAGAATATTCAGGGAGGATATGAAGCAATACAGTAGGGCAACGATGAAGTTAGTATTGAGGTGCTGTAATATAATTTATAAAAAAGAATTGTCACAGAACGCAACCGAATTTACACGGGATGTAAAAGGTGCATTTCTACCTTAATATTTCGATTTCAATTTATGGTATATGGTATACAGAGCATGTTTAAATCAAAGTCCCATGTTAAGTTCCTATATTTGTGTCACTTGGAGGTATTATCACATAATATGTAATATTTAGACAGTTTCCATAGGTTTGTTTACACCGTGGTCCAATTGCCCCATTTACTTTCACAAAAATGCAGCTTAATACTGGAGCCTAATTAATAACGTAATGCGTAGGCTGTGTATGAGCTTCCGGTATGGTGATAGCGACTATTGGGATAGGTAGGTAGCTAGGCACTGGCGTATCGTGGGCATCGAGGGGGGGGGGGGCACTGATTTCGCAAGGTGCATGAAATTCGAATTTACGTGGTCATCGAATAGGATGCGATGTGGGAGGCGTGTCTTATATTTTCTTCCTTGCCCTTCTCCCCTTACTCCCTGTTTCTTCGACATGCGATTGGGAAGGAGATGTGCCCCGTGGCCCATGCCAACCATAGCTACCCCGCTGTAGGTAAGCACCTAATCACGGCCAAACACGAGTTCATCACAAGGCTTGGCATTGCCAACCACATATTTCTTTTCAGATCACTCAGTTCGCATTTCCTGCCCCCGAGATCATATAGCGAGATCCTGTGATGTAATAGGATTCAACATGATAATATGGAACAGAATCATGAAAACGTGGCTCAGAAGAACGATGATGTCATCAAACCCCCTATCAATGACGTCACACTAGGGGATGACAGCGCTGCATTTTAAAGTTCAAGATTTTCTGTAGCATTTTTTTCTTCAAACATCCCAGGCCGTATGTGTTTGTAACTCAATGTTTTCGATATTTTTATTTCGCAATTTGCCAACTGATGTCTCATCTCTTGAATATCTAATTAGAGTTGGCATGTTTGGAATTATTCCTTTCCCCCTAAAGCAGATAATCACAAAGCAAGCTACGTTTAATTCATTCCATTCCAAGCATGTTGATTCGGTCCAATTCCACTTTTCAGGATGAAACTTGTGAATGTACATGCCTCCCGAGCGTTAAATCGGCCGTGTGTATAAAGTTCTAACTCGATCACGCGTCTGGCTAAAACTTTCAGAATTATAGAAGCATGTATATAAAGAGATTAAACCTTAACACATTTTAAACTTATCGAGTCATTAAGTGAAGACATAATTAGCATTCACACCTTGACATCCGGAAGCCAAATTTCACAATCTTCCCGAAGCCATGTCGGTATGAAAGGGTAACTCATCACCGGTAATTAAGGCTCTCCTCAAAAGGAAGGGGCTACCGTTAAATCTTGTCTACCTCCTTCCCTAAGCAGGCATTCCCCCAAACCAAATTCTTGCCGCATTGAAATGTGGTAGACTACTTCAACACGACGCTTATGACCAGGAACATCCAGACAAAAATGTTGAGCTCGTCCCTATATAGCCTGGAATTTTTTTTTTATTCAACTAAGAATTTTTACAAAGAACAATAGAAATGAGAGGAAAATGAAATAACTTGTGTAAAATGTAACTACTGATTGCTAAAACCATATTTTATGAATTATTATTCCAGAGTATACATGAAGACAAATTAACGAGCAGGGAGTGTAATTGCGTGAAGATTCTCAGACTTTTCAATTATTCTTTCTCTCTCTCTCTCTCTCTCTTCTCTCTCTATCTCTATCTTTCTGCTTTTAATGAGCACAACTTCCTTGCTGGAGCCACATTTAAGCAAACTAACCAAATATATGGCTTGCCCCCGATTATTATTTGTTGAAAATTAATACATTCCACCTTTATTTCGAAATGAAGATGGAATATGTCATCATATTGCTTCCTCATAGTGTATCAACATAATACTGCGTGATCAGCTGTTTACTGTTTATCAACAAACTTGGCCCGAGACAACCATTTACACCTGATATCCTTTTGAACAATCTAATTCGTTTTTGTCTGACGAACAGTGATATGAATGCAAGTTGAAAAGCCGACCTGCGAACGGCTTCTTTACTATCTTTGTCATCATTTTTATTACAATTTCATCATTGAAAATTTTGAGGTAAACATGTTGATAGGCATTGTTCTTGACTGTCGACGGTGAGTTCTTAAAAAGTTTAAAAGGTCATTTATATTCACGGAATTTATGCACGCTTTGTATTTCATTACTGGAGTATTGGAAGCCTTTAGGTATTGAAAGCGTGTAGGTATTTTGACAAGATTGTCACAATTGCCTTCTACTAGTTCGACTCTTATCAGTTACGCCCCCCTCTTTCTCGTTGCATTTATCATGCACACTCACTTCAACATACCACTAACTGAGATAATAATCTGTTTTTTTCTAATTTTATCCATATCTAATTACTAAAAATAAACTCATGAGAGTGTATTTGTTGTTCCCCTCTCTGCGATTGAACAGGAAAAAAAAACTATTTGTATACATTAATAACATGCAAAGCAACTCACTGCCATAAAGTGTTATACAGAACGAGGATTATTACTTTGACCTCAATTTCAAGATATTTCAAGATATCCTGACTGCAAGGTCAATTTTTAGGCTGATACAAATATAATTTTCTTGAGTTCCTATCCTTCATTTCTTGGCATCAAATCGTCTTATTAAGTGAAAACTTTGCTTTGGAGTTGATGTGCTTACGTTTAAAATACAGCTCTTTGGATCATTTATTTATACATGTATCTACACACGTTTTCATGACGAAGGTGCTTGATGTTGACATTAATTTAATCAATTTAGCTAAAGCGAATTATGAGCTTTAAATAAAATGAATTCATGGTCAACGCCGTCCTAACATATCTGAAGGCTGTAGGCCTAACTGCATGGTCATTTTCGTGAATATCGTCATCATTGATGATTGACAACGTTAAAAAAAAGCTTCAATTTTTTTAAAGGAATAGCGGACTGTATCTGATTGAAAAACAAATCAAAACAAAATAAAGCGAAGTCAACGTATTTATTCAATATTCATAAAGACCTATTCATTCGTTGTTATCGTCAAAAAAGTTGTGAGCTTTCGATTTTGGGGTAAATCGCGTAAAACTCAAATGGAAAAATTATACAGTCATAAATACTCCTATTGTGTCAAACTGTTCGTCAGTTGTTAATTTTGTTGATTCATGAGGTCACCTTGTAGCTTCATATAATATTTCTTAACCCCTTTGATACGTATTTATTATTGCCTCGTGTGCGTTATGGACCTATGGTAGTGGCAGGGTTAAATTTCATAAGAAGGTACAGTATCTTCTCCGATCTGTCAGCGGGACAGGGCGGGGTTGAGGGCATATCAAGTTACCGTTAAGTCCGTCGCCGGTTTCCCCGCTCCTAGTCCATTTTTAGATTTGGTTGACAACAAGAAGGACATCCGCTGCAAGGGACTTTTGTTGCATGATTTGATATAAACGTATCTATTTTTGAAATAAAAAATAATAAGAAATCTGGATATACATAATATCGTTTCAATACGAAATACCGTCTTTACAGATATTGTTATTAATATCATTATGTGCACCATCTCCATTTCCTGGGGAGTAGTCCAACATAATTATGGTCACCGTAAGGGCATATGGCCATTACTATCGCAATGGCTACCATTGTTCCAGGTTCCCATTTCTCTGCTGGGTATGGAGTGGCATATGCAGATTAATGCCTTGTCAAATGACATTAGTTCCGCGTAAAAGAAGAAATAAATATCAAAGATAAAGTTTTGATGACGTTTATAATTTTACTTCAGTAGCTTTTAGTAGTGAATATCCGTGAAACCATTTTCATTCTGTAACGAAAAATAATTGTTCCCTCTTTTTCTTTTTTCCTCTCTCTCTCTTTCCTTCCATCCGCCCTCCCCCTTTCTCTCCCTCCCTCCCTCCCCCTCTCTCTCTCTCTCCCTCCCTCCCCCTCTCTCTCTCTCTCTTTTACCCTCTCTCTCTCTGTCCCTCTCACCCTCTCTCTCTGTGTCTCTCTCTCATTTCCTCTGTCTTTCTCCCCTTTTCTCTGTCTTTCTCCACTCCCTCTCTATTTTTCCGTCTCCCCCCTCCAATCCTCATCTGATTTCTCTGTCTCTTCTCCACCCCTCTCTTTCTTTCTCTCTCTTTCTCTCTCTCTTTCTCTCTCTCTTTCTCTCTCTCCCTTTCTCCCTCATCTGTAGAATGCAATTTCAGGAGAAATGGCGGGATGACATGCTCCTCAAGCTTCATCAGCAGAACCTAACACTCAGCGCAGAGGAGATGCAAGTATGTTTATCTTCTTTAAATTCTATTTACTGACATAGGGGACACTACCCATCCTGTTCCCTTTTCAAACTCTAAGGAGGCCTGCGTTAAATTTGTAAATTTGTGCCATCTTAATTGTGTTCACGTTCCCACCGAAGGGTGACAAATGTGATATTTTTGTCTGTTTTGTTTTCTTCTTCTATTTGTTGGGGGGGGGGGTGGGTTCAGGATGTTACCCCTCCCCGCCCCTCCATTTAGAATTCTCGTCCTTTTTTGCATCACATCTTTATGAATACACTGACTAAACATGTAAAGATTTCCATTATCAAGAAATTATGTCCGATGGTCTTTAGTTCTTGAGTAATACAAATTGTGACATATGCTTTTCATTTGAATAGTTGTTATAGTTATAAACATATATTATAATTTAAGATTATCATTTCGATTACAGTATCAGAAAATAGGTCTGTTTGTAGGCTGATGCTAATTAATTATGCGTGTTTTTAATTTCAGCTTGCTTCCAATACCACATCATTCAATGGAGTGAAAAGAAGAGCTGTAAGTATCACTTTATTCTAATATTATTCAAAAAAAATACTCCGGAATTACCCGTTTAATAATCAATTTCAAACATTTTGATAACTTTGGGACTATCTATAGCTACCTATCCCAATATCAATATCATTTTGATTTGAGAAGTATTGTGTTCTCTGATCTATATTTAAAAATCCTATGTGCATGGTTGGGAATGTGATTTAAACCATCTAACCGAGGACATACAAATCATTTGGATGTGGAACCACATTATTGTATTGTGTTTTATTAGGATTAAATATGGTCATGACTGGTTCCAAAAGTATAGTAACTGATTGATATATTCAGGGTCATGTTTTCGTTCTGGCGGATATGATGGGACACAAGCGCCCTCTTTTAAACCCTAACTTAGCCTTTATAGTGACTACACATAATTATATATACTATTGATTTGCTTGTCGGGATATTTCGGCTTTGTCAACCCCCTCCATCTTACAACCAAAAAAACCCCTAGATCCGCCCCTGACTGTTACATTGACTGTATGTTGCTCTTTACATGAACCAAACGCCAGGCCCTCATGCTTTTGATATCCGAACGGACGTCCTGAATAAATATATGAATTCAGAGAGAGAGAGAGAGAGAGAAAGACAGAGACAGAGAGGGAGAGAGAGAAAGAGGGAGAGAGGGAGAGAGAGAAAGAGGTGATACTCCTTTGTCCTTGTTAAAAAACGGCGCACCCTTTTCAGCATAAGGATGCACTTTTTTCTCGGGGTCGCCTAAGTTTCGTCTCATGAACTTTTCTCCCATTCTATACATTTTGTCTATCACAGGACTCGCTGCTGGACCAGATCCGAGTCCTGATCAGGAAGTTCCTGGTCCTGGCCCAAGGTGATCCAGGTCTTGTGGAGGCTTGTTTTCTGATTGTTCAGGAAGAAGAAAGGTGAGATAAACGGATTATAATTTGGTGCAAGAAATTTTTCCAGGGTGTTTTTCCCCCCAAAACAACCTGGAAAAACAACCTGGAAAACTCTAATTTCTAAGAAATGTCAATCCACGTAAAAGTTACATGAAGAAATGATATTTCCATATGAATTTTATGCTGGAAATCATATGTGTTTTGGAGGGAGCAAAGAATTTTGGTTTAACAGTTCCATTGTTTAATCAGATACATAGACATGGTTTTACCATTTGGGAGGATTCAGGTTTTATTTTTTATTTTTTTAAGAAAAAGAAAGAAGAAACAAAATAAAGAAGAGTGGGGGGGGGCACAATACAAAAAAATGCGTAGAATTGCCAATTATGTCCAGTTTATGACAAAAATTGAAAAGAGCATCATTATTTGTTTTCGTAAAATATGCTACATTAATTTTGAAATCGGGCAAGACCTTTTGCTCACTCCCCCCCCCCCCCGAAAAAAACCCAACAACAAAGCAAGTACAGTGAGTAGTTCAAGGTTCGTACATTAAAGGTCATAATTAGTTCCGGTACGCCCAGTGGAGCTGCATCACAAGAATCTGTTCAAGATATTAGACCGTTACAACAATTTTAAAATAAAGGTTTCCATGTTAAACCATTTTTCAGCCATCGCACTCACCTGACTTAATATCATGTGTTTGGTAAAACGTTTGTAAAGTTTACACCTAATTTCTTAGAAAAGAATATTGGTTTCTACGTAAAGATTTATTTGATAATGTAACATAACAAAGCAGTTTAAAGCCACGTTTGAGCTTTGAAATTTTTAGAGATAATGAAGGGTGACATTGCAAACCGATATTATGTTGATAAATCGACCCCCCCAAAAAAAAATTGTGTTGATAAATCGACCCCCCCCCCCCCAATTGTGTTGAAAACCGCACAAGGGCGTATGTACCACCATCCGGACTTTGTATATTGTTAAGAACCACTAGTTCAGCATAATTACCGAGGATGACAGATGCGAGACAGAGATCAAGAGAAGGATAGCTCTCGCTAAATCTGCATTTTCAAACTTAGGCAAAATTCTGACAAATCGAACAATGTGTATGAGGACCAGAATAAGGGTATTGAATTGTTTACATCTACCCAGTACTTATGTATGGTAGTGAAACATGGACTTTAGCCTCTGATACTAAAAAGCGTTTGGAAAGTTGCGAAATGTGGTTTCAAAGTTAGTAATGAGGAAGTTCTTACACTAGCTGGAGTGCAAAGGAAAATGATACGTGAGATGTTGATTAGGCAGTTGAAGTTCATGGGTCACATTACACGTAAAGAAGGCCTAGAGAATCTTGCTTTGACAGGGAAAATTGTGGGAAGAAGGAGTAGGGGAAGAAGGAGGATACTTTGGATGGACAGTCTGCAGAAATTGTTGAAAGAGAGAGGAGTGAAAGAACTGGGAGTGGTACTAATACAGAAGGCTAGGAGCCGAGGGTTGTGGAACAGCATGATCGCCAAAGTCAAACGATATGGCACTTAGAGAGAGAGAGAGTGTGATTCTTAACAATCACTACATAGTACTCCATGTCTATATCTGAATCAAAACTGTAAAGTAAAAGCGGGATTAACAGTCAAGTGTGTTTTCAATAAGAGGGGTGATTATAATTGGGTAATTCAAAGACATACTAAAATGAAAGTGCCCTTCAGTAATAGTACTTGTAATACGTTCGGGTTTGATGTATTTTTATCCGAAATTGCAAAAGTGAGTCAGCCGGTCGGGTTCCCTTTTTGTCCTCAGTAGACAAAAAGAGTGTGCCTTCTCCTTCACCTCACTACTTCAACACATATCCAATATAACTGCATTTAATATCTTGAGGAAACTCTAATTTAAATCAATCATTGCATAGTTATGGCAAGCCATTGTCTCATTTTCAGCACCTGTTCGCTGATCCCACTCGGGATTTGGGGAGCAATTTTCGCTGCTACTTTCGAAAGATACTGCTAATCCACTGTAATCAAACACAAAGGGTTGATCATAATAATTGGAACTTAAAGGCATGTAGTAACCAAGTTCACCCATTTTCTTAAAATATTTGAACGTATCATTATTCTTTGTACGATCCTTTTTGGTGATTTAACAAAAAAGAAGATTCAGAACTGATCTTCATTTATTTCATAAATCATGAAAAATATGTACTAAATATGTACGTTTTTTCTTCATTATTGGGGCGATAATATTAATCAAAAGTTTCTTTTTTTTTTAGTGTATCATTTCGATTTATTATATTGAGTTAAGGAACCATGCAGAGACAAGAAAAGTTGGTAATATTTTGGACCCATTTTCTCTCATTTACGGTTCGCCTAATTTTGACCTAGTACCAAGTATTGGTTGTTGTTTTAGTAATGATTTAATTGATTATCTTCGTGAATGTTCATTGACACCAAGTCACTTGATACAGACAGGATGAAAAACATTTCCTGTTTGAACGCGATCAACAATGCCACAGATATTCTGTTTTTGTTCCTACCACATCTATAGCAATGTGACTGCTGTATTTTAAATTGAGAGAATGCTTCCCTATAGAGAATAACACGTATGAGGACAAGCTTTAACAGATTGCAAATGTTTTCAAATGACACACATAATTAGAATCGCGTATCAGTATTATTTCCGTTTAGTATGGTAACAGATATATAAGTGTAAAGTTAGCCCTATTCAAAATTTGCCAGATACTCCCGTGACCGTCAAAATCCATGTACATACATATATGACACCAATTATTTGACATGAATCATGGATAGATGAATGGTATTGGGATGAAAGAGGATCGCGATAAGAGAATGTTTGATCTATTTTACTGATGTTAACAAAGGTAGGGGCATGTGGGGCTCAAGCACCCCATGTCCACCTGTTTGACATTATAGATTGGCGCCCATCCATGAACCCCGCCCTATTGGGGATTTCTGCAATGACTATTACCCCCCCCCGAATGCAAATACAATGAAGTGTTTGGTTGAGGAGAGGAGCGGCTCTTTCCTGCTATACAAATTCAAGTGGCATAACACAAAAATGTTGCCCAATTATTTGAGTTTCGACCTCCAAACCACATGACAAATCTGATGATCGGTGTGTTTTTACTTTGCTTGTGAGAGACTTATACAAATTGGTACCCTGCCTACCCCCTCCCCCCGTAATAAAGAACTCAAATCAAACCTAGACTAAACAATTTTGGTTATCAAAATTGACATACTTCTTTGGTCTCTTCATTAACTTTATCAGGAGAGATGAAGATGCGGCCAAGTGTAAAGAAGAGAAGGGATTCATCACCCCAGACAGACCCAAGAAATGGAAAGACAAGATTCTGACCGAGCTCAGAAAAGTTCCACTTCTCAGGTGAGCCATTGGTTATCAGAGATATAGATGTTTATAAACGCAGAAATAGGGAACCCAATTTGGTCATGAAATAGACGAAAAAATAGAGTTATGGTTGGTGTTGAAAAAGATGATGATGGTGGTAGTGATGATTTTGATGACGAGGATGATGATGTTGGTGGTGATAATGATGATGGCGATGGTGGTGGTAGTGATGGTGGTGGTGGTGGTGTTAATGATAATAACGATGATGATGATGATGATTCAATTCAAAATAAGGTGATGATTCGCTGGATGTCTTCCAAAAATGTCTAAAAACTCTCCTCTTTGACCATAATCAACAACTTCTTCGATATTTTGTATGTAAAGCGCTGTGAAACAACAGTTAGTTTGTAAGAGCGCTATAGAAATGACTTTATTATATTGTATTGATTCATTTCAATTCAATTCAAAACAAATTAAATCCAAATTTAATTCAATGATGGTGGGGATGATTACGGGGAGAATGAGGATCAGAGAGTGACAGAGAGGGAGAAATAGAAGAAAAGGGAATAGAAAGATCAAGCAGAAGGGAAAAGAAGATGGTCTTGTCTTTCCTGATGTTAATACCATCATTTTTTTTATAATTTTCAGAGTGGAGAATACACCTCAGCAAGACAGAACAGATGATCGGAACTGGCTAGCACTACACATGGAGCTCATGAGTCAAAAACTGCGAGAGGATCTGAAAATTCTCAAGGTAAAATTAGTTAAACTTCTAACGTTTTGACTACGTTTGAGTAGAGGTTTTTTCTTCTTCCATTTCTTCTTTTTCATATACATTATATGGTGGCCCTAAAGGGACATCGCGAATAGACTAAATCGTGAAAAATATGCGATAAAATTCACGATATCGTCAATTTTATCGCATATTTTTCACGAAGAAATTCACGAAATTGACGATATCGTGAACTTTATCGTGAACTTTTCACGATGAAATTGACGATATCGTGAATTTTATCGTGAAAAGTTCACGATATAAAGTTCACGATATCGTCAATTTTATCGTGTACTCTATCGTGTACTCTGTCGTGTACTCTATCGTGTACTCTCCTGACGGGCGCTTCGTAAACAAAACCAGCCCTAGCTGGGGGAGACAGAGAGAAGGAAAAAAGGGAAAGGGAAAGAGAAGATAAAAGGAAAGAAAGAATAATAAGAAGAAAAGAGGGAAACGGGGGGGGCGAAGGGCTCTTGCCTCCTCCTCACTCCCCCCCCCCCCCGCCAAAAAATAAATAAGGAGAGAAAGAAGGGAAAGGGAAAGGGAAAGAAAATATAAAAGGAAAGAAAGAAGAGGAAGAAGGAAAGAGGGAAACGGGGGAAGAGCTAAAGGCTCTTACCTCCCCCCCCCCCGCCAAAAAAATAAATAAGAGAGAGAGAGAGAGAGAGAAGGGAAAGGGAAAGAAAGAAGAGGAATAAGAGGGAAACAGGGGAAGGGCGAAGGGCTCTTGCCTCCTCCCCCCCCCCCCGCCAAAAATAAATAAGAGAGAGAAGGGAAAGGGAAAGAAAATATAAAAGAAAAGAAAAAAGAGGTATAAGAAGGAAAGAGGGAAACGGGGGAAGGGCGAAGGGCTCTTGCCTCCTCCCTCCCCACCCCCCGCCAAAAAAATAAATAAGAGATAGAGAGAGAAGGGAAAGGGAAAGGGAAAGAGAAGATAAAAGGAAAGAAAGAAGAGGAAGAAGAAGAAGAAAAGAGGGAAACGGGGGCGAAGGGCTCTTGCATCCCCCCGCCCAAAAAATAAATAAGAGAGAGAGAGAGAGAGAGAGAAGGGAAAGGGAAAGAGAATAAAAAAGGAAAGGAAGAAGAATAAGAAGAAAAGAGGGGCTCTTGCCTCCTCCCCCCTCCCGCGCCAACAAATATTATTATTATTTATTTTTTGGCGGGGGGGGGGGGAGGTAAGAGCCTTTCGCCCTTCCCCCGTTTCCCTCTTTCCTTCTTCCTCTTCTTTCTTTCCTTTTATATTTTCTTTCCCTTTCCCTTTCCCTTCTCTCTCTCCTTATTCATTTTTTGGCGGGGGGGGGGGGGGGAGTGAGGAGGAGGCAAGAGCCCTTCGCCCCCCCCCCGTTTCCCTCTTTTCTTCTTATTATTCTTTCTTTCCTTTTATCTTCTCTTTCCCTTTCCCTTTTTTCCTTCTCTCTGTCTCCCCCAGCTAGGGCTGGTTTTGTTTACGAAGCGCCCGTCAGGAGAGTACACGATAGAGTACACGATAGAGTACACGATAAAATTGACGATATCGTGAACTTTATATCGTGAATTTTTCACGATAAAATTCACGATATCGTCAATTTCATCGTGAAAAGTTCACGATAAAGTTCACGATATCGTCAATTTCGTGAATTTCTTCGTGAAAAATATGCGATAAAATTGACGATATCGTGAATTTTATCGCATATTTTTCACGATTTAGTCTATTCGCGATGTCCCTTCAGGGCCACCATAACATTATGACTTCCCACACATAACACACCCTTGTATTCTTACCTACCCGAATGCATTAGACCCTGTAAAGACATAGTGGCATAGAATGTGGCGGTGTGTGTGTGTGTGGGGGGGGGGGGTGGGGGCAGAGGCACCTGCCCTACTCGGTGGATGACATAGCGAATTGTAAACAAGGCCGTCGATTTATTAGGAAATGTGGAAAGTGGTCGTATCATCTTCGTCTCTTGCCCCCTTTCCCTCCCCCCCCCCCCCCCCACACCCTTGGCCATCCGACGGAGAGGGATTTTATAATTTCCTCAAGGCCACCATTATTTTATTATCTCAAGTTCGATTTTCATTTGTAATACCAAGACATTGACTAACAAGTTAGAGTATATTCTTGAGTCGATTATATAATTATTCTAAATAATAATAATTTTAAACGTATTCTTTTCTTTTCCCCCTTTTTCCCCAGGGTCTCTTTTCGGCGTGCCATTCGCTGGACAGTGATATCGCACAGTTCTTCATAGATGCCTACTATGAGTACATGACACAACACGTGAGTTTCAAACACATTTCATGGGGGGGGGGGGGAGGGGTCGGGGGTCGGTTGCAGTCTTAACATTAAAGAAACTTGGGACTGTCTGATAAAGGGGATTTAGTTATCTGTGGTTCCGTGTTGCGATCTATCTTCAGGTTCTAAAAAAGATTGTGAGGCTTTTTTTCTTGGGGGGGGGGGGGGCTTTGAGGGGCCTGGGGGCTTGCGGTTCTTGCATGCATGTGCTTCGCTTCAATTCATGTATAATAAAGAAATGGGGAGGGATTTGGACCCCCAAGTCCCCCTCTAGAACCGCTTCTGTTGGTCTTTACTTATTTTAGTCACGTTTAGCCATAACAAGGAACAATTCTGTCTTCAAGTGCAACGATTGAAGCTTTTACGTCATTGTTTCATTGTGTCTTTCCCAATGATAACGATTCCATGGAAAGGGATTTCCACATAGATGATCCTAACAAAGGTTCTTGATTTGATTTCAATTCAGAGTGTCTTTTGTGGGAAACCCCGTACATTATTTTCCTTTGGAATCTTTATATTTGAGAAAGGAACAATGACGTAAAATCCTTGGTATATTTTAAGACATGATTCAGTATACAATGATATTTACAGAAGGCTTAAATCAGCCATGTATGATAATCTTAGAGTGAGAAGAAAAAAAAAGTGGTGAATAAAAGCTGTATGAACTGAAAGGAATTCTTACAAATACTTTTTGTTGTTTTGAAATCTTTATTTTGTATAGATTCAAGATATTGTGTCTACGGGGCTTCGACACAGTGAGATAATTCAACTATTGAGCTGGCTAACGGAACACAAGTAAGAATGAGTCATACATTAATTGATAGAGGTAGAAGATAGAGTGTGAAGATAGTATAGAATAAAATAATATGAATAAAGGGGGAGGGAAGAGGAGGAGGGAGTAGAAGTAGAAGTAGTAGAAGAGGAAGAAGAATGAGAAGAAGAAAAGGAGAAGAAGATCGAAGAATAAGAAGGAGAAGAAGAAGGATAAGGAGAAGAAGGGAAAGGAGAAGAAGAAGAAGAAGAAGAAGGAGAAGAAGAAGAAGAAGAAGAAGGAGAAGAAGAAGAAGAAGACACAGAAGACACAAAAGAAGAAGAGGGAGAAGAAGAAGGAGAAGAAGGAGAAGAAGATGAAGTAGAGGAGAAGGAGGGGAAGGGATTATGGAGAATATAAAGAGGAAACAAAAATATATACAAGTCACGTTGAGAAGTTACATTCCATGAGTAATGTAAAATTTTCTGCATGATCAGGTATGACACAAACATGTTCTGACATGTATGCTATGTTATGAATGTTCCTATTCTTTACCCTTCATCATTATGTTTTGGGGTGAAATTTGTCAACAAGAAGAGCAACGATTTTTTTAATGTCCAACATCAAAAAGAAACTAAATGAACGAAAAAAGAAATGTTGTGTTGTAGCTTAAATACTGTAATATATGATGTTGTATCAAGCTAACAGTTACCTTTATCCTTAAAACACACAATAAATCAACCACAAATATGAAGGAAACTATATATAAAAGTGTCTCTTTTACAAACCACCTCAAGTCAGCATTTTTTTCTTCTTGTTAAAACATTTTCAGGAACGAAATGAGAAGACTGAATGTATCGTTTATCGAAGGTGTAAGCTTGGATAAGGCTGCAGAGAGTATCCTTCCAGAACACTCGAGGAAAGAGCTGGAACAAAGGTAATGAGACATTTTATTTTGAGGTCCCGACAGTCATTTTGCTCATCCGGCGACATTTTTTTCTTCTCCAAGCGGGGTTTATTCGGTCAAAGATAAAGGGGTTATGGTTAGGGTTGCACCTTTGACGGCTATTTACAGGTTTGGGGGTTAGGGTGTTCGGTCACTTGTCAGATTGGGAGTGTGGTTAGTTTAGAAAATTGTCTGCAAGCAATAAAATATATGTTCCAAAGGTGAATTTGTAGACCATCGATTATTTTAGACATAATATTATTTGCCAATATGCGTTAGTAAGTATAATGCAAACAGAGGACTGTATGAAAGGGGTGCACCTCCCCCCTCTCTCTCTCTCTCTCTCTCTCCCTCTCTCTCTCTCTCTCTCTCTCTCTCACTCTAAAAGGAGGAGAGATATAAGAGACAGAGGGATCAGGGAGAGATAGAGGGAGGGAGAGCGAGCGTGGGCGGGCGGCGGAGGCGGGGGGGGGGAGAAAACAGAATGAAAGAAAGAATAATACATATGATTATATATATAGAGAGAGAGAGAGGGAGAGAGAGAGAGAGAGAGAGAGAGAGAGAGAGAGAGAGAGAGAGAGAGAATATCAGGGGTCAGGGGTGTGGGTTGCTGCTGGCCAGGTGTACAGGTGAACAGATAAACAGAGACTAGTGACAGAGTGTCCAATTATCAACATCGCTAAGCCTACTACTCAATGTGATACAGACCCGTAAATTAACCACAAACCTCAGATCAAATAAAACTCATCAAACTGTCTGACGAGCGACATTCATTACGATTTGGCAAATGATTCTCACTGGATATAAGCAAAAAGTTATACAATTTCTACAAGGAACAATCGTGCATTGAACCGGAACTAATTAAATAGCATTTCAGGTTGGTTTGTTGAAGTATACACCGTGACACAAAGTTTAGGTTTGTATGTAAATGAATATCCGTGTTGATGAGGATTACTTAACCTGAATGCAAAGAAAGCATGTAATATATGCTTGTAAGTAAGCAACAGGGAGACCGATGGTTTCGAGTCCTCTCCGAGGGATTTGGTAATGAGAATTAAAGCCTTACCAAAAGGCAAGAGCGCATTGACTTGGTTTCGAACCCAGGACCACCGGGTTACGAGATGCACTGCTCTGCCACTGAGCCATCGCGCCCCCACTAAACCAACTAAATCATCCAGCTGTTGCCTGCCTTTTATTTTGTATGGGTTTAATCTAAACATTGCGATTTTGTTAATGCAAGAGTATTTAAATAGATATAATAATCTAAAACGTTTGGTTATTTCATGGGCCTAATTCTTATTCTTGATTTTATTATTACTTACATATATTGCAGTAAATGCAACTACACTGTACTCTTCTGCAGAGCTACGTGTATAAGAGAAACAACAATGTCACCTTTTCCCCAAACGAATGCAATTTTAGACAAATTTTTACCCATTATCAAAAAAACACTAGACACCTCTTCATGAACTAGAGTATGCATATAGTATGCGGGTCATTTGTGAAGTAATAGACTCGAAACAATTACGACATTCCAGAAGTCCTTACATTATACATACTTCCCTCGGTATCGTCACGCATAGGTAGGAATAGATTACTGCTAAAAGAGAACTTAATTATGTTTTGATACAGTTTGTGGCATAAAGTATGAAGGCACTTGTATAAATAATTATGATTATACAATAGCTAGCATGCCGATAGTCAGCTTGTGTATGGCATAAGGCTGGCGGGTTCGGGCGGGGATTGGAGGGGGGGGGGAGGGGTGCTCTGATAATAAAAATTACAAAAAATTACAGATGTAATGTATGTATATCCATAGGTATGTGCTAGACTGTAACATTTTTTGTCAATTACGTTACCAACATCATCAACAATTTTAGTACATTCCCAATTAATTCATGAATTCAATTGGGCTAGCATCAGACCAAGTAACAAAACAAAAATTACACTTGTGGGTTTATATTCTTTATTGAACATTCTTATGATTGTTATTATGCATTATTCTTGATGAAGCATATGGAACAGTAAAGGAATAAATATCCCGGACTAGCCCACAATTTAACGAGAAATTAAGAGTCTTTAACGAATTACATGGTTGTTTTTCAGTTACTTGAAGACAGTACATAGCAATCTCAAGCAATGGGCCAAGGACGCTTTGCAGAAGGAGAGAGAGGTACGTGTTTTAAGCATTATCGTAAAGATAATAGTGACAGGGTAGCAGATAGTATTAATCTTCTATGCTCAAACGACTGTTAAAAAGCATGACTGAATATTCTTCTTCTCTTAGATAGGAAAACCCAGACGAAACATTACAGCCATCGTGAGACTATTGACACGAATGTATTATAATTATGTTATTTTTAGTCCACTTTCCATTCAGAGAGACCTTATAGAAAAGAAAAACGTTGTAAAGCAGAATCGAATTAGTTTATAGTTGATCTGGAAACAAATTATTTCTATGTGAAGCAAAGTGACATACGGTATTCCAATTCCATTGTTAACAGATTTTGACATAATTCTACCGTCAAAATTATGTTGTTTCTTTTTCATGGTGAATAGTTTCTTTTCAACCGACAGAACAGTCCTTTCTAGGGGAAATCCCTTTGACATTTAATATTCAATGATGATTTCTAACAATTCTGAGTTTTCTCTCACTCTCACGGATCAGTAAGTGATAATAATCACATCAATTTTGAAATACATTTGCGCAAATTTGAATGCAATTTATTTGTTGTTTATGATTGCCAATGCAATACATGAAGCAACCTTTAATTATTTTATTGATTTATGATTGACAAAACAACGAGTGAACGCAACTTTGAATGTACATGTATTGGATATGTTTAAATAGTAAGTGACAATGCAAGGAATGAATGAACGCAAGTTTGAATGTATTTGATTTGTTATGATTTACAAAACAACGAGTGAACGCAATTTTGAATGTATATTACTTGTTTGGGATTGACGAATCAACTTTTTGGAAACAACTCTGAATGTATTTATGTTTGATTTGATTATCAAAGAAATAAATGAATGCAAATGTAAATGTATTTACTGTATTTAGGATTGGCAGAGCGAAGACTATTCACCGAAGCAGGATAAAGATGGATACCTGTACACAGAATTCCCCGTCCATTTATTCGACTTACTCAGGCAAAACGTAAGTATATAAAGCCATTTAGCAATAAATCACAAATCAACAACCATTATATTTTAATTACCATGTTCAATATGAATCCTTGACCCCTAGCTACTGCATTCAGGAAGTCTTTTGAATGCTAAAGTCATAAAATCTCATGGAAATGACGAGTGACGTCACTGTTTGTATTTTTCCATAAAGTAGGTCAAAAGTTCTGTTTGGTCATGCAGTAGGTAAACGAAATGAAAATATGTTATAAGTACATACGTGTGTGAAATTATAAAAACAAAAGCGAAATGATAATTAATGATGAAACGAAAAGGTTCTAATTCATGGTGAAAATATAAGGTTGTAAACAGAAAGGTAATTGGACGTTTGTCGTGAAATTCATGTAAAGCCATTCGTCAAATAGTTCCCTTATTAATAGCTTGATATCTTTCTCACATCAGCTTGAGGTGGCCCGTGAGATCAGTCCAGGAACCTACAAAGCATTGCTAGGATACTGCCTAGATGAAGTCAGAGACATTGTACAGCACTATGCAGGTAAGGTACCCCTCATTACAATGTCCTATTTTATTCACATTTTCCTTCAGGCAAAATGTGCGTTTTCTTTGGAAAGAATATTTGTTGTACGATTCATATCGTTTTTCTTTGAAAGAAACTTATTCTCCCACTAGCCGCCGGAAATTAAACTTCCACAACAAGAAGAATTGTAGCTCGATTCCAATATCCTTACAAAGTAACTCTTTTGATTTTGATTATCGTCTGAGTCTTATTCTGAAAAAGATGTACTTTGCACATAACCCAATAATACAACAAAGGAATATGTTACCCGCCCTCCGGCTGGCCAAAAATTTGATTCGTTTCAACTATGGATGTTTTCAACACTCCGAATCTCTAAATTTTTGAGAGGTGCCATTTTTCATGGACATGTCAGTGCTTTCTGAAAACGTGTTGAAAGTTGTCGAAGTGGTCTTTTTCTGCTGTTACAGTGGACTTAAATATGTTGTGATCAGTTCTTTTAGAATTAACTGATTAGCGAGATTACAGCAAGCACCGTTACCTCTGTATTGTGACGAACTCTGTTTAAACCCCATGGCCGATTGTCTCGATGCTATATAAACAGTTGATTAGTCAGCTGAAACTCCTGTATACTAGCTGTAGCGTGGTGACGCTAAGATTTGACTGACTCAGACACGCCAAAGCCCTTTGTTTGAATGGCATTGAGCCGTGGATTTCTAAAGAAAATCTCACAAATATGCAAGGACCTTTTTTTCTATTGTTAAGGATTTGAAAGCTGGTGTTTTTTTCAAGAGTTATTGGTCTGCTACTACACCGCTCGCGGTATTGATGAAATGATAAACAACAATTTAGTAGACAGCTCTTCATGACACTGGAGGATTTAGGAGGGTTCAGGGAGTTATAGGGCATGTGCCCCCTCATGAGAAATTAAATGTACCTTTTAAAATTGTTTTTCAGTTGTTGTTTTTGTACCCACTAGTGGTGGAATTATGATAACTTTCTTTTGTTACGTCGGCCCTTTCGGGACATGACCACACCCCCCCCCACCCCTCCGCCAGAAAATCCTGGATTCGCCATTCTTTTGTTCACCTTGGGACTAAATTTAGGGACAACAGGTTGGCTTATCTTTTACTGAATTCGTAGAATAATGTAGATTTCATTGAATAAATCATTCATGATTGGTTTACCTGATCATGAATAATTTGAGCAGAGAAATGGAGGAAAGGTTTATCCATTTGAGATCATCTATTCATACAATCTTTTTTACGTATATGCTAACCCAAATCACTAGCTCTGGTTTAATCCGTTTTTCTTCCTTTCTTTTCCTTTTCAGCGGCCGTGAAGGTCTACATTCCCACGAGGTCGGTATCGACGACGCCTCCGTCGTCACCACAGCCATCGCCGAAGTCGGCCCAGCTGGTGAAGAAGATAAGGAAGACCGTGGAGCCGCACCTGTCGACCACGGCAGCGGAGGAGAAACGATGTCAGCTCAACAAACCAAAGTTCTACGTGCAATACTCGGTACGAAAAAGGCGTTGTTTTTTAACACAACATGTAAAACAACACGTAAAACATCCTTTTTTCCATGATATAGACTTTTTTTTGTAAAGTGAACCAAATAAATTTAATGTAATTAGATATAATCTCGTAACAACTTTGATCCTAATATGAATTAACAAAATTGCTTGATCACGAGCTATGGTAAACAAACTTCATTTATTGTCAAAACACAAATAATACCTTATCCACATGAATATGCGAATGACATTGATTTACAGAAACAAAATATCCTTTTGATGTTAATATCCTGGTAAATCAACAAAGATAAGACATCGCCCTTTTACAGGACACAAATCAATTTTATTTCTGAAACACGATGTTTGATCCTATTGGCAACACTTAAATGAACATCGAAAACTTATGTACTTTCCGCAAGTTTAGGTAAATCATCATAGAATTTTGTCACATCATCATTTCCATGTAAATCTGCTATTATATTTCACTCGTTTCATTTCCATTTACAATTCTTACTTCCTTTCATCCAATCAGGTGGCAGCCTTGAATAATTTCGGGACAATCATCGAGCACTCCCAACTCTTCAATCAACAGCGCCCTCAGAGTGAGAAGAAGAACCCCAAACAGACGGACGAAGATGAGGACGATTTCACATACATACTCAACATGATGAGAAGACTTGCTAAAGAATGGTAATAATAATATTATTTATGCCTTTCCTTCTCAATGAGATCGTTATTATTCATCCTATTTTCTCATTCTGTTCACTGTCCCCTTCATCCCCTCTGTATTTGAATGCATGATGAAATCTATCCTATATCTATCTGATATGTCTATTTATCTATCTATATTATCTATCTATCTATCTATCTATCTATCTATCTATCTATCTACCAATATTCATCTATTCCTGAACTTATATGAAGGGCTCTACATTCATAATAATATATGTGTCTTTGTTTGTTGTATCGTTCCACATTCCACATAACAAGATTGTCTCATACATGATATTTAACTAGAGAATGCATAATAAAAACAACGATGGACATGTATGGGGACCCTACAGTATTAGGAAGCAAAGCTTGTGGATCATAGGTTTCCCAAATGAAATACAAAATGTTGTAACTTTATTTGATACCAATAAATAAAGACGGAACAATTTTTTGAGTCACTGACACAGTAGCATAAACGTATAATACGTAAACAAAGAAGTGTTAAGTAAAGCAAATGTTGCTCTGTTTTTAGATCTATTTCTTCTCTACCTAAATCAGGTTTTATAAGTTATACATTTAACCTTGTTTCTTTAATATTTTTATAGCTTTGAGAAGTTCACGAATGACCTCTACGCTGAGATCAAGCCACTCCTACGATTAGTCGGCACCAAACAATGGCAAGTATTTAACAAAACAAAATATCTTTTGAAATTTTAGACCTTCTCCTTGCACAATAAATGTCGATATGTTTTAATCTTCTGACTCTCCATGATAAAACATATTAATTTAAAACTTCTTTTGCCCTCTAGATGATAAAAGTTTTGCTTAAAACTATTAAATATATTTCCCCATACTGTTTAGAATAAGATATGGGTTGTAAAAGTATGCATTATGGAAACCCATGATTAAGTGGCAAAAATACCTGACAGAACCCATGTCTGAAATTAATGGCAATATAATATGGCTCGATTAATTATTCCAAATAATCGAGAGTCTAATCATACATGATATTCATTAGTGACGACTATATTATTATAATCACAAACAATTCACTGTCCCTCCTCCCTCTCCTCATAAACAGGTTTGTTCAAAATGGCACGTCATGTATTGGCGAAGTGTGCGACATCATCACATCCTACACACTCCAGCTCAGAAAACAGTTCATGGGTGACTGGAGGGAGAAGTTAGAACAGTACATGCTCCAGGAATACACCAAGAGTTTCAGTCGAAGGTGAGTGATGTCTTCAAGAATATCCTCAAGAATGATGCCTTCAAGTATATAGATCCTCAACTCTCTCTCGATTAAAAGAATAGAAGGAATTACGAGAAAAGCTACAATTTGTGTGGGTTTCACAACTTTCTTAGATGACTGGGAGTGTTTCACACAGATCCTAAGTTGAAGTTGTCTCTAAGTTGGACTTAAACATTATCGAAAGCCGCCAGCAACTTTGAAAATATTTTGTAAAAGTTATTTTAAAAGGCATAGGATGTTGATTCAAATCATTCATATGTTGAAGGAGATTTCATATGGGTACCTATATACCATGGCAAAACTGGGTTATTGCAGGGCACTCTGAAAGAGCAGTATGCAATATAGATGATGTTTAATTCCTGGATAAACAAAACCACATTATTACTATGTTCATGTCATTTCATATGTTATACATGTATTACTCTTCTCTTAGGACTGCGTGTATCACGTGCAAGAATGCCAAGGAGAGACAGAGTGTTGCCGAGCAGATCTCGTGGGAGTGCGATCAGATCGAAAACACACTTCTTTCCCTCCAAAGAGAGGCAGAGGTGGGTAGAAATATGTTGCTATGTCAGGGTTAATAAATGTAAATTTTTTGAAGGAATATAATCCATATTCTTAATTCTTTGGTGAGTGTTTACCTTTCTATTGAAGCCGATGATACAATATTAGAAGCGCTAAATCAAACGTCGAGAATCAGAATATTTTTACAGAACTTTGATAGTGGCTCTTCTGGCGAGGTTTCTTAGTTTTAAAAGAATGGTTGCTTGACCGTGAAAATGGAATTTGCATGTAGTTATGTACTATAAACAGATAAGGAATTGTCATGGATGTATCCATAGTAGTCTTAGTAAATAATTTTTATGATAACTTTTTACAATTTTTCATTTCCAAGATAATTTAAAATAAAAGCAAAAATGTGTCATGTTTTAGAATTCAACTCTATTTTGGACTATCATATTGTTAGTATATTTCTTATGTTTCTCTGTATTATGTGGATAAGAGAATGTTCCATTATCGTGATCTTTCATGTTTTGTTTTGTACAGGTTCACATATCCGTCTTCAACATACTCAGACAGATGTCAGAGGTCATTCACCTGAGTGACAAATCAACTATTGTACTTGAAGTAACAGTAAGTGTTTCTTTCATCATTTATACAACTGTATATCACACCAGCCATCCTAAAAAATATGTCACCTTCATCCTTTACTTTTAAAAGTTTATCTCTAATTCTCTATGTCTCTCTGTCTCTCTCTATTTAGCTCTCTGTCTGTCTCTGTCTGTCTGTCTGTCTCTCTCTCTCTGTGGCTATCTATATATCTCTTTCTCTCTTTCTCTGGCTATCTCTATATCTGGTCTCCTTACATCCTCGGGTCTTAATAATATTTGTTTCCTCAACACCCCTTTTTTCCATGTGGTATGACAGAAAAACTAAAGGAATATATGAAAAATAACATAATTACAACCCATCAATATCTCCTCTTAGTCACAGTCACAATATAATGTTGTTGATTGCAATGATGGAGATATGCCATCAGTGAATATTAATATTTGTTAAATTTTTACATATTATTAGATGAATATGGCAACTCAAATAATGTCCTTGCTTTTATCATTTCTTTCTCTAAACAGAGCCTTGTCATGAAACACCCCGAAACGACAAGGAGGCAGCTGAAAGCCGTCCTAAGACTCAGAGGTGATCTCAAGAAAGCCAAGATAAAGAAGGTAAGATATCAGATAATACTAATAATAATAACGATAATAATATGTCTTGTTTACCCAGGGTAGCCTCATCAGTATTCATACTGTTCTCCCTGAGGGCCCTATAATCAGATATCGCTGCTCAGTGGTTCAATAGAATAGTCCTTAATAAGTTAAAATTAGCCATACATTTTTCAACATCTCCCAAAGCTATGGCACAATTAATGACGACCCAAAACTTTTATGGAAGCACTCATTAAAATTTTTTTTTAAAAGAAACTTGTTACAAATTTTGGTGTTGTACAACTGTTATAAAATATATGGGACCATGAAATGGTACAAGTGTTTTCGAATAAATGGGTCTATCAAATTTTAAAGTGAAATTAGTATGGCTTTAACAAAAGAAAGTCTTTAAAAAAAATGTTATTTGGAATTTATAGTTGACAATGATGTGAAAGGCTCTATAAACACCAGAGTATCATCTAAGATTCTAAGTTGTTTTTTATTTATGTGTAGATAGTTGTCCTTTGATTTTAACATCAGCAATAATCATCTATTCCAAATTTTCTATGTAAATCGTTTATCAATAAACTTATTTTACCTCACTACAATCATTATAAATAATGTATAGTTCCTCATTCTATCTACACACACAGATCATCACGAACACCATGGCGATTGATGATAACGATAGTATCGGTTACTGCTCCGGAGAGTCGGCTGTGTCGTGTGCTACCACAGTGGGCCTGGGGTCTCCATAAATTTGACTGCAATCGCGGCCGATGTGAATCCGACTATCATGAATCCGGCCTGAATTCTTGAAAGCCATCTAACTTTAGGGAAATTTGATATTAATCTTGCCTGAATGTGCAGACTTGGTACACCGAGAGATGGAGTTTCAAATGTCGGCCTTTACTACGTCCTGTACAAACCAGTGAGAGAGAGAGAGAGCGAGAGAGAGAGAGAGAGACAGAGAGAGACAGGAGTGAGAGAGAGGGGGAGAGAGAGAGAGGAGAGACAGAGAGAGATCACAGAGACATAAAGAGGGAGAGACAGAGAGAGAGAGAGACAGACAGACAGAGAGAGAGAGAGATCTAATCTCTGAATTACTTTATTTTAATTTCATGACCGAATTAACTTCCATTCTTTTATTTTGCTACATTATTATATGAAACTTGGGGGTTGAAATTTGGCCTTATTAATGAACTACATGTAAGCTATTAAAGCTTCTATCAATAATATGGCCTACAAAAAAAAAAGACAATAATGCTTGTGGGTTGCCTAATGTCTGTTGCTGTAAATTTTTCATTGGAGACTGGTGCTCTTATATAATGTGTATGTGCTATACAGGCCTAGAGAAGGCTTATGGTCTATTTAATATGAAATAATGTTTAATGTGCCTTTCTTTACATCCAGTTCTGATACTAATTGCCAACAAAAATTAATACCATGCATTTTCATGAATGGAGTATCTTATCTGCTTACGTGTCTAACTCGAGTTAAAGTTTGCAAGTATTGTACAATACACTACAATATTTCCCCCACCCTGCCAGAAGTATATATGAATTCATTCTAATCGCACACAATTCCATTACAAGTTTCAGGTTATTTGGGTGCATATTCATTCTTATCTGAATGTTTATGTCTTCTGTTGCAACTCTTTTAGTACTTTGCTTGAATAGAAATTTGATGTCCCATTAACTTTGTAAATAGAAAGAATTTTCAAGGGTCAATAAACCCAGACCGCTTTCGTCAGCAGATATTTGTACATTTTGTGGAATATCTATTGGAAAGTGGGCAGGGCGGAATGTGTTGGACATATTGTACATTTTTGCTTCTTTTAATGGACTACTAGTAGTATTTGGTTTGGCAAAATTCAATGGAAACATTCCAGTTTGTGTAAATCTTCTTTTGTTGCTTTGTTTCCAGAATTATGTCAATGAAACTTTGTATGAATAAGTGGAGACAACATCGTTTGTTGTGCTGTAAAGATGTTTTGGTTGTATATTTAGGCTACAGTTCTGTAAATCATTAATATTTTAAGAGTATCATCCACATATTTGGAGAGAATTTGACACATCTTTATTGCCACAAATCTTGCCTTCAAAATAGAAACAAACTTCCAATAAGCTTTTGTTAGTTAAGCATTGTAAAATACATAATAATATATAAATTTTGTGCATATTAATTTTATTATTAGATGTTGTGAATGTTCTAAACCAAAACATAACTACTTGATTTTACTGGTTGAAAATTTCCAAATACATATAGATATATAGATAAATATATATATATACACATATCTGTGCAGCAATTTGATGGTTTTTGGGGCGTCTGTATGAAAAATGGTGCTTAAAAAAGATTGCCTTTAACTAGATCTATGCAAAGAAGTTTATGCAAATATTTTTAAAGATTTTTATGCAAAGATGCTTACGCACAGAATTTAAAGTAAAAGTAGTATATATGCACATAGTGAAAGTGTTACACAAGTTGTATAAACATTAAGACGTGAAGAAGATATATGAAAACACACAAAAATATTGTTATCAATGTTGTTTATTTCACCATTTTTGTTGTTTACATCTATTTACAAATGAAGGTATCTTGTGTCGCCTAGAGAAAAGATACATGTGTACATTAATTACATGTAGCTGGTGTAAACAAAAATTACGAAGTATTGTGTGCTGTACACTAAATTCAATTAGAGATAAGAGGGCTTGTAAGCTTTTGCTTCAATATGTGTATAAACAATGCTAAGTGAAGACAATTTGCTTCGGAAAGCAAATTTCTGCAAAGAACATCACAAAAAATGTACATTGTAATTTACTGTTCGCTTCTTGTTTGTTTATATTAACGTAACACATCTGTACTTTCTGTTCTTTGCTCTTTATTAAATTAAAAATAATGTAAATCTATGTAAATGTAAATAAAAAGTGGTGTTTATATGTTTGATATTGAAATAAAATGAAATAAAATTGAATAAAATGAGATAGCAATTGAGAATGTGTTTGCTGTTTTGTAATAACTATGTAAGAAAATAATGAACACAAAAAGCATAAAGCAAAATCCACTTCAACACCATGCAACCCATCTTTCCAAAGTAATAATGAATAAAAAATGAAACTCATCATGATATATTAGACTAACCAGCATTATAATAATTTTCCTTTCCAGTCCCCAACATAGTTAAAATTCAATCTTGTTTTATAATGTCATATTTACACATATAATTTTCAAAATATTTAGATGGATCAACCATCAACTCTATAATTAATCTTCTCTGAAGCAGCACCTGCTATAAAATGATTCAGTAACATGAATATGAAAGAAGGTACATATGAAAAGACGTGTATGTCGGTCAGGGGAGAATGGAGAAAGAAAGAACGAGTAAGGGGGACGTGATGGGGGGAGAGAGAAGATGAAAAAGAAAAGAGTGTGGAACGGAAAGGGGTAGAATGGGTATGAAACAGTGCTAGAATGGAAGAGAGAGTGGATGAAAGAGAAGCACAGAGAGAGAAAGAGAGAGAGAGAGAGATATGGACAGACAAGACAGACAGACATACAAACAGAGAAAAGACACATAGAAGAGAAAGCGGGAGAAAGAAAACAAATTATTAACCTGAGAGTAATGAGAATGGTTTATGCAAACACACTCCAGTATCGGCAGAAAAGAGGTTGGGTAGTAGATAAAGAGAGATGAAGTATTGGAGAGATAGAACTATAACTATTACAGACAGTAGGAATTTAGTTTTACCTCCTCAGACTTTACAAAGAAAACAAAAATATATTTTATAACTTAATATCAAGGGACCTGATGTTGATGCACTGACAAGGTCTCGAAGACCCATGATCTCTCGTACAAAGACCACTTATCTCAACGCTAAAATACTATTCAAAAATGAAAAAGAGGAGGAATTCCAAATAGAAAGATAGAGGAAGAATGAAGGAGAGAGAACTGATGAGGAAAGAGGAAGGATGAAAAAGATATTGGTGAAGGGAAACGGTGATACGAGTAGGACAGAGAGAGAGAGTCAGACTCTATTTACAGATGCCATTTTCAAATTAAGCATACTTTGCCAACAAAAATAGCATTTTCATCCCACATTGTACTCATTCATACACCTGGGCTTATTTATTAAAAAAACACCTTACTAAGCTTAGCAGTAAATTTTCTCTCAGCCAATCAAATGCCACAATTTCAGTAGCTTATAACAGTTATTGTAACTTGTCATAGATAACAAGTTTAATGAAACGGGGCCCTGGGCAGCTTTCACAAAACCAAATTTCGTACTTCATCAACATTCCATTGAAATGTGTGTATTGTAATTATTCATGCGTTTCAATGGGATGTCGGTGAACTTGTACTTTGTGAAACGATACCCTGCTGAATTCTAACAGACATATATTAAAAATCATACACAGAAGACTATGGAGTGGTTACATGCATTGTAAAAATACTATTCTTTGGCAGCAGCATGTCTTAGTACCACACAAAGGACTACATATAAGTTTCCTTCTCCTGACAATATTACAACGTAGGTCTGTCTGTAGATCTATACAAAAAACACATAATAATGATCTGAATCTACAAGTACTGAAATTAATCAATATTGAATTGTCTTTGATAACAATGATTGAGTCACTATTTGCCAGTTTCACATCACATGTTTTCTAAGAAAAGGCAACATAATAAATCTAATGTTGAAATACAGGTCTTCAATTGGTATCACAAGTAAAAGCATTGATCAAATCATGGTTAGAGAATGATAAGATACTCAAGTGGAATTTGTTTAACATGCCATCGAATGTAAACTGCAACCAAGGTAACAGTGATTCTATATATCAAAACATGAACAATTAAATGAAGAATGTCTGAGGACCTTTGACATTACAGGCATTCCTCTACAAGGATCTACAGGAATACTGAAAATGAACCATTAATATCTTCAATGTAAAACATAATGCTGCTATGACTTGAATATTGCAAGTGAACTTTTTTCTTCAACACCGATCTAAAATTATGACATTAAAGAGAGTGTAGCCTGACAAGACTAAGTGTCTTTCCCGTGGCTTGACTCAGGGCCAATCGGCAATTATACGACTACGGACAACGTGACCACAATCATGTGCGTGCTACATAGGCGAAACCGAAGCGCGAGGAGAACTTCGGTCTGTTTTGCGAATGCTGACCAATCAAGTCCAATCGTTAACATGCAGTTGTCCAAAAGAAGACGTAGATGGCTTTAACTAGTATTTGCCAAGCTACACTCCCTTTAACAAACTGAGATTAGACCCTCCCTTCTAAAATGTTTCATATTTTTAGAAAGACCCAGTAGAGATCTCAGTCAAAGGTCATTATAAAACTGATTTAATATTCTTCTCATTTTTTATTGTTGAAGAGTATTTAAAATAATAAAAAACTTACATAAAGTGTTGAAAATGCATTGTATTCCGTTTTTGCTTGATACTATTTTGTTGGTAAATCTCCTGTACTGCAAGCAGTATGTAACATGATCAATTACTCAGAAGGGCTTATTTTGCCTAAAAAATTCTGAAACAAGCCAACTGAGCTTTCTACATCTATGTACAAATATCAATCAACTTTTAAAAAAGAAAAAAAGAAGAGGAAATATTCAGGCAACTATCTTGAAACACATTCCAAGATTATAAGGTTGTAGTAAAATTAATAGTTACTTGCCATTTTCTGTACGACCTTCTTGTCTTGAAAAAATAGATGTAATACTCTATTTAATCCTTCTCCAAATAAGTAAGTAAACCCTAAAACCCATGACGTGAACGATATAACCCATGCCCCTGTATGTATAACACATGTGTATTAGTAATAAATTTCAACAAACAACATTCTTTAGCCAACATTATCAAGTTTGAACAAGTTCTTGGTGATCGAGTCACTGCCAATACAATACTTATCTACACAGCAATGAAGACCAATGCCGGAGAAATGAAAACGCTACTTCCGCATCAGCTGTAACTTTCAATTAATTTTGATAACAGGGCATCCATATTAAGATAAAAACAAACATACAAATAGAGGTAAAAGTTTCTGCATCTCAAAGAAAAAAAATGTCCAATAAAATCAGGTCTCCACTCCATTTTTAAAAGACAAGGCATGATGTGGACTTTTTTTTCATAGCCACTTCAAAGTACAAAAATGACAAAGTCGACTGTTTGAAGAAACACTAGTACATAAAAAGGCCTACAGTATACTAGGTACAAGGACCTATGAACTATGCAACCATGTGAGGTGGCTGCAACATGTGACTGACCACCTGACACTTACTGGTCACCTGATACAGTAGCAGGTCATGTGATGGCAGCTAGCCTAGAGAGGGGTTTCAGCTGTAGTTGTATAGCTCTTGACACGGGAGAAGTAGTAGGGACAGAACTGACGGCTCATGTCAAACTCGGTGGTGTTCTCATTCCCAGTGGACCTAAAAGGAAAATAAATAAATGAATATATATATAAAGCACAAGATAAGAAAATTAATACAATTCAACACAAAGAACAAACTATATAAAACTTCATGATGATGGTTTCTTTTCTATAAAAATGTGCAGGTTTCAATTTTTCCAAAATACAACTGTCTAATTGTTATTAAGTACTTAATACAAGTCTATTGAATATCGTTTTAACTTCATAATAATGTGATTTGTTTTACAGATGCATTTTTAAAGAAATGATTGGTACTGCAAAGTAAAACAAAGAGCAATGAAAACAGACATACTAATTAATTCTTCTTGCCCTCATCAGAGTATCTTGCAAGAAAGAACAGCAAGCCAAAATCACACATTATAAGAGGAAGGTAAACGAACAAGTGCGCAAAAGATTAGCAGGCTCTGATTGGTTGCTGAAAAGTAGATATAAAGCCAACTGTTTAATTACATAGAGCTGTAGCAATGCTAGCTAGAATAACAGATGGACTCTTACTGTTAGCACAGAATAGGGTCAGGCTAGCTTTAAGTCTATTTTCCCGCAACCAATCACGGCCAATACAAATTTTGCAGGCTTGTTCCTTTTGCTTCAGCATACATTGTCTGCTTGCAGCTTCCTGTTCATTCTTGCGATTTACTCCGAAGATGGCAAGCTCATACGAGTTTAAGAAATTGTTATCATAACAAAATCAAACTGTCTTACCTGTATCGAGTGTGACAAGCATAGCGTTTCCATTCTAACTTCATGTTCGGCTTGCGACCGAAGCTAGTAACAGCCACCTCCTGAAAGACAGATTAGGAACGGAGGAAACTTCTTAGAAGAAAGTATAACCTACATGTACAATATTGCCACCAACGGTAAGAAATACTTAATCAGAGGCGAATTAATGATTGCCTGAAGAGCGCACTAAACAAAATTCTCAAGAAAATAATAATAATAACCTTCTCTCTCCCGACTCTATGTCTGGCAGGGAGGGGGGCAACAACAAAAAAAAACCCAATCTTTCCTTGGTAATTATTTTCTTACAGACATCCTGAATGCTCTTCTGCCAGACTGCCTTAGGCAGTCCCAAAGAACCAGCTGCAAGTGTTTTTTCGTTTTTAATAACTATAATGAGCCCTTTGTTCATGTTCTTCTTTTGAATAGCCCCTCCCCCCCCCCCTCCTTCCCCCCACCTCCTCTTGCTCATTATTATGTGTCATAATGTATAGTAACAGCCCAAGCTAACTTAATTCTCACCAATTCAAAGGTCTGTTCAGAGTCGGGCAGGTTCTCCTTAGCATTGCGGTGTCTCATGTAACGTCGGCCTGTGTCCAGCTCCTTTTGTACCTTATCCTTTTTAAGGACAGCAGTCAACTAGTAAAGGCGACAATGAAAGAGAGAGAGAGAGAGAGAGAAAGAGAGGGGGGGGGGGTGGGGGAGAAATTTGATTACCATTCTTTGAATTTCATTCTAATCTAAAATACCAATATGGTATGATCAAGTAATATTTAAGCTGTAATATTGTTGGGGTTTGGGATTTGAATAATTCATGAACTCGCTCATTTCTTACTATTGCATAGAGAAAATTGACAGACGGTAAAATGACCAAAGTGTTTGAAATGGGTACCTTCTTGACCAAAGTGTTTGAAATGGGTATCTTCTTGACCAAAGTGTTTTAAATGGGTACCTTCTTAACCAAAGTGTTTCTAAATGGGTACCTTCTTGACCAAAATGTTTCTAAATGGGTACCTTCTTGCCCCAAGTGATTTTAAAAAGGTACCTCCTCGACCCAAGTGTTTTCTAATTGGGTACCTCATTGATCAAAGTGTTTAATATGGGTACCTTCTTGACCAATGTGTTTTAAATCGGTACCTTCTTGATCAAAGTGTTTCAAACGGGTACCTTCTTGACTAGTGTTTTTCTGAATGGGTACCTTCTTGACCAAAGTGTTTTAACACCCTAGCCCCTGGGTATATAAGACCATATCACATCATATTATTACTTACTATGTCTCCATCGATACAGAATTGTCCGATCATCCTGCCGGGAAGATTGTAGTTCTTATGCATCTTACTCACAATACTCTGTGGATCCTCGGATGAGCTAGCCATCATGATAGTACCTGCAACAACCAAAACAAAATTCCCAGGAGATGATCGTTTAGAATATAATATCTCAAAATTTAAATAATTCACACAGAAAACAAACAATTTTTATCAACATAATTACTCAGCATCAGCAAATAAACAGAAGAAAAATTACTCCTGTCGTTTTTCCTCTCACTTCTTCATTTGTTTATTTTCTTGGATTATTCTTTGAAAAAAAGAAAAAAGGACATCCGAGGGCACAAGGCTTAATGCCATCATTATCGAGCTATCCGTTGTTCTGTCCTTGGCGTTTACACATTTATTAGGAGAGGAGGTCAATAATTTTTCATCCCATTGGTCCAACACTTTTGAGCCTTCATGTACAGTTGGGCCGTAGAGTTCACATACACCTGGGAATTTTTTTTTTCTCACAACTGCACTCCTTGCTATCAGAAGTCACATATATAAGTGTCTCAGAGGGATTATACATTAAACAAATACCAGGCTTGTCTGTCTTCCTAAGGTGAAAAATTGGGCTGAAGTTGTGATAATGTATAATGCTTTTCTACCAAGTTTATGTAAACTTTGGGGCCAAACTGTACATGCTTACAGGCACCTTGTTACTTCCTCATTATTTATTTTCAGGGGTTAAGCAGAAAGGACTAGGAAGTCATTCCTATCCCTAATCCTAACCCTAAATCTAACACTATACCTAACTCTGGACCTAATCCTTACCCTACATTGACTCTAACCCTATCCTCTGTTTGGAGCCAGAACAGTGCTAACCTATTTGACTTCGAACAGATGATATATAAACAGGGACGATTGGCGTAGGACCAATTGGACTTCACGGAAGCAACTTACCATCTTGAAAGAACCTGAGAAAGCGATGGTATTCTACAACATGCCAAGGTTTATAGAATGGGTCCATACTGGGTTCCCCTTGCCTGATGTACGTCACCCGGCTGATGTAGATACCGTTGAAGTGAGGATGAGCGCGATGGATGTACATGTCGCGCCATGAGACGTACTCCTTCATCAGATAGGACATCTTGCCCCACATTCTTTAAGAAAGATATATGAAACAAATCTTAAGAAATGATGAAATTTGAGGTCCAAGATGCATGGAGTCCAGTGATCGATGGAGTCAATGATCAGAATTATAGCTGATTTAATTATTTTTTTCTGCTTTAATTCAGAGTAATCTGCCAATAAGTTAAAGATATAAATTGAAGTATATAGCAGTAGAATAAGCGAGTTCCTAATTAGGATTTGCGCATGTGCAGATAAAGGTCATTCGTTCCCAAATTGCAAAACCATTGAGACGAATACTCATATCGTGCTCATGAAAGTTATGTAATTAGTATTCCTTTATGTACCGACAGTACATTTATCGATTCACAGGTGAAAGTATTCTTCTCAAGAGGGCAAACAAAAGGTATTCATGAAGCACCTCCATCACTTCGACAGTGATTATTCTAAAATGCACAAGTGGGACGTATCCATAGTGTAAAAGATCTATGGATATGTGGGGGTCATGTGTTCCGAAGCTATTTACGAACTGGCTTATTAGTAGCAGCTCAATAACGACTCACCTCACACATGCCTTCCTCCATATCTCACTATCCCTGCAGCAGACATAGAACCCTCGAGACACCTTCGACAGCTGCTCCAAAGATCGCAGGTCAAGGTTAGAGGTCACGACCCATCGGAAGATGCAGAGGAGGATCTCTACTGGCAGGGCAGAGACATGGGTCGCCTATGGACAAAGAGGACAGGATTGGTCGACTCAAAAGTAATCTTTAAAGTCAACTCGTTTGCTTCTTACTTTTCTTGTAAATCTGATCCAATCAAACTATTTTGTCAGGTCAAACTGCTTTCCAGTATGTGAAGATTTCAAAGGGGATCTTGGTGTAATCAAGCAAAACAAACAAAGAATGATCAAATTGATATTGCATTTACAGGGAGTCAATATCAATCAACTACAACCAAATGTAGACTACTGTGCAAACTTTGTAAAAAATGTTACAAATACACAAACATTGATGGAGAAATATATTCATGTTGCTTTCACAAGCAATACAATCAACAAAAGAAAGAGACAAACAAGAATATTAAGAATGATGTTTAAAATATGTATGTTTAAAATATGACATAGAAATCAAAAAATCAAATCAAATTAAATCAATATGGTTTTACTCACAGTCTGAGGAGTCTTTGTTGAACAGGAGGTTCTGAGATCATTCGTTGTCATCAGTTGAAGCTTGATGGCTAAGGCTTCGATATCATCACCACCGTCATCACTAAAAGAAAAAAACAAAAACATGATGGTCAGTTCTTCCTTTTAAGTTTCGAGAAATTATGAATATAAAACCAGAACACCCTGTTATGGTGAAACCGTGGAATAATTATGAGTGCTGAAAGCACTATATTCTTGTTTTTTCTATTTATGCATGTAAACTCGTCTACATGTATTCAGAAGGATCAATTCAATATAAAGGAATTTCTTGCTTTGCCTTTTTACTTGGTTTTGTTCTACGGAAAAAGTGTGTGAAGGCAATAATTAGAAGAAATTATCGCATATCCAACTATTACACATGAGGGAATGAATGAACTTCTCCCTATATGGATGGCTATAGTCTACAAGACTCATGATGAATCACAAGACTGACAGCCCATGGAGAAGAAAAAAACCCAGAGATACCAACAATGTCCAGCTATCCCTATGTAATTCTCTGTTGTTGTTTTTTTCTCTCTCTCTCTCTTTGTATATTTTATTATTTTTTTTGACTTGATTTCTCTGTTTCATCTCTTTTATCTATTCTTAAGTCTTTCTCTATTTTGTCAGTCTCATACTGACTCTCGTGGGCTATCAGTCTTGTGGGCCATCAGTCAACTGGAACATCCCCTAACTTATTGCTTAATGCACCGTTACAATGGCCCTTGCATACATCTCAAGTATCAATAAAACAAACTGTAAATTGCATACAGTAATTTCATGAATTCGGCTACAACGAAAGCAAGCAATGGTGAAGGTTTATTTAATTTCTGAATTGATGTTATTTCAATTCACAAAGGATAACTCTTCCAGGTTAAAACAAAGACATAATAAATTGAACAAAATAACAAAATGCTGAAATATTTAGAAATTCAAATCATAATCATCATTTCATAAAATTATGACATTAAAACATCTTTTCAAAACCAAGGTCTCCATTTTAATAACACACAAATCCCATTAAACTTTGGGGCGAGGAGAAATCTAATATTTTGCTAGACCAGATGCTTGTATATATTGATAATAAACCTACACGACTAAGCTATAAAATGGCTCCACATCAGATTTTGTTTTGTCCTAGTGATTTGCATGCATTTATTCAATTGCATTCCGTACACTAAACATCTGCTAGTGGTTCAGACTGCAAAACATACATATGTGCAAGGCTTAGCTGTGTATTTTTCATGATGATACAACAACACTACATACAATACATTTTTTAAGGATTGATATGTGCTGGCAAAGTGTACAAACAATGTAGCTTGAACATTTTTACCCGACTCTCACACCGTTTTGCAATGAATGCAGAATTCAATAGGAACTTAAAGTAGATATTCATTGATTTTAAAAACTAACTTTATGTTCATTATTGCAAAGTTTAAACTTTGATTCGACAAGATTATCAAAATTTAATGCTTGGAAACATTCGAAGTAATGATTAATATAAATTACAAAACGCTTAAATACAGCCCGGGCATATAGCACCTGAAGAGCTCTCCGAACGCTGCTGAGATGTGTGAGATCACAGTATGGACATGACTTGCACAAGCAGACGATGCCCCATGACATCTCACACATTTTCAGTGCCTGTGTTTTCATCTTTTCTTGAGTTCTTTCTCTTACTTCACTACCGTCAGGCTAAATGTAGAATCTATTGCCTCACTCTAAACCCCGCGCATGGTTTTATTTTGATGACAAATGCAGCGATACAAAAATAAAGGAATTTGTCGCTTGTAAACAAAATAAGACGCCATTGTATATTCAGCTGCACACACCGGGGTATGTTCGGCGTTTCAAGAGGGAACAAATGCCGTCCTTGATATGATTCAGGGGTTTTTCAATTTGAAAGTCTGGTTTCTTTGATTGTTAATTAACCCCTATCCTGTGTATTTACAAGCAAAAGATGTTAGTTATCAGAATCGGGTCATATCCCGTTTTAAATGGTTTGACATGCCATTACATTTATATAAACTAAACTCATTATAATTTGACAAATAATAGCTTTGCAATTACGTTCATTCTCTATGAGATGTCGTCTGCTTGGGCAGTGTTGGTCCATATAGTGACGTCATTAAAACATCGTTATTTTCCCAGCGAATCTCTCGTATATCCCAGCTGCTATGGAGGTGGTTGTATTTTTATTTTTTATTAATCACCCGATATGTAGTTGACCTATAACTTGTACGATGGCCATCTGTTAGCTTACCAGTTTCTAGTGATACATTAGTTGACAAATTTGTGATTTTCTTTGAATTTCACCTTTAACCTTCAGAGAACATTGACCTTTAAGGCCCGGTCACACAGAGTGGAAGCACACCAACAAAACTAAGAAACCATTTGGTATAATGTACAAAAGTGAGCAAAATCAACCCCCCCCCCCCCAATAAAAAAAGTTATAAAAAAAAAAGAATAAAAAACATCAAATTTTGTAGAAAGTAAACAAAATTGATATGCAAATTCTTATATTGATACAATTTCTTGTCATATTGGAACAATTTCTGGACATAATCCATGAAACGTCCATGAAACTACTTATTTTGGAAAACACAAGAATAGTACAGATTGAATTGGCATTATAACTCCAAAGAGGTTTTTTTAAGGTGATTTTGCAATATTTCAATACTTCAAGCCTCGGTCACAAATGCCATTACGAACTGCTACGAATGCTGTACAAACGATTTTCAGACAATGAAAATTTGGGAAGACAATGGAAACACAGGGAGATTTGTACGAAGTTATCGTTCGTACGAACCGACCGTAGAATAACTTGTAAAATCATACCAATTTTGAACTCTAGAGGCCAACAAGTCAAACAATTTTGATGTGTTTCTAAAATTAGCTCAATTCAGTTTGTACATGAACTTTTGAACTTGAGCATCTCCTTACATAAAACCTTGTTTAACTGTCAGTCATAGATATGATTTATGATTCATGTAAATTACATTCCTCCTTGTTTACAAATTTTGTTCCAGAAATTACTCCTTGTTGATTTCATGTAGATGTTTTCATTCCATGAATGTACATATCCCAAGCTTGCTTTTGTTACACACCTGCCTGTGTAAATTTCAATAAAGCATTTCCTGCGGTAATAAACAACCTGTCAATCAAAGAAAACTCTGTCTACAAGTTTAATTTTATGACCTACTTCAAAGTATTCAAAGTTCAATGTTAATATGTTCACAATAGTATTTGTGTATTGATATGATTAAGAAAAAGCACACCTGTAAGTGAGGGCCAATGGTCTACCCAAACCTGTTTAATCCAGGTGAATACAAAACATATATTTGGAAAGTGTTTGATTTGATTTGATTTTATTCATTCTGAATCAATAAATGAATATATGTAGGGTCATTGTATCATACTTACAAAAAAAATTATTAGTACTTTTAATGTGTTTTCCTAAATAAAAAAAATGTATTCAAATTTTGGTGACCTGTGATTCTTTTTTTACGCAAATGTTAATTTTAATATACATGTAATACAATAGGCGTGAGAGAAACAATGTTTGTAATTATTTTAACTGTATGTTGATAGTTTATATGTATTCTTATGAATACTACATGTATATTCACACAAAAGTATGTATCAATTTATTCATCAATTAATTTATCTCCCAAATATGTTAATAAAAAAGGTTTTAAAAAGTTTGTTAAAAAAAGTTAAGTTATAACAAAAAAAAGAACTCTGGGTTCACTCTGATCTGCCAGCCCAGTTCTACGCACAAATTTTCTTTTCTTTTAATTTTTTTTATAATGATCTTAAAACGATAAAACTGATATGAACATTCAAGAAAAGGGTCCCAAAGTTCGTTTTTCACACACCATGCACGTAACGAATTTCAAAAAGTTGTCAAAAATAACTGATATTTTTTTTATATAAAAAAAAAAAAAAATCACCAATGAACTTGTAAGAGTGCAGAAACTGTTTTGAAGAACAGACTGCTCTGATAAAATGTAACATTTAGAACACCATTTTATACAAAAATGCACTGTACGGAAGAAATGAACTTACGTCATGTCTTCCGCCACATCGTTGTTATTGCTGGGGATTCAAACATTCAGAAATGCGAGGTGACAATGGGACGAATCTCATTTTGTGAATGACCATTGAGGCAAAATTGCTATTTTCTTCAGATAATAGCATAATACAGCTCAAACCATAAACAATCTACATGTACCTCGCTATTCATAAGGACCCCTATCCATAAGGACCCCTATTCATAACCTGCGACAAAATGAATAGCGATCTTTCATGAATAGCGGCCCTTATAAATAGCGTGCAAACCATAGACAATTTACCTCGTTATTCATAAGGACCGCCATTCATAAGGACCGCTATTAATAATGCGTGACTAAGTGAAAAACTGTCTTTTATAGATAAAATAGCGGTCCTTATAAATATTGAGCAGACCCCCAGTAGGGCTATCTGATCAAATGAGAGAGATACATACCGGGTACTAAAAACTCAGATATGATTGGTATTTTACAGGAGCTTGGTCTTGCCCCAATAAACTTCACTTATAAAACCACACCATGTTCACATGTAATTTTCTTCCATTAATAAAAGAATTTCTATATACCGTAGCTACATGTAGAAAGGAAATAATAAACAAGTTATAGCACAATCACTATGAACATCACGGACAAAGAAAGCGGACAAAATACGGTATACAGTTCCTCAGGTAGACAAAGGAACATCCCTTCAGTGCTATTATGTAAAAAGGTGAATATGCATGTGACACCTGTTCTACACATTTTTACATAATAGCAGTGAAGGGATGTTCCTTTGTCTACCTGAGGAACTGTATATTTTGTCCGCTTTCTTTGTCAGTCATGTTCATAGTGAGTGTTGTACAGGTATGGGTTGGGAATGAACTTACGTCATGTCCTTCACCTCATTGTTGTTATTTCTGAGGATTCAAAACATTCAGAAATGCAAAGTGACAGTGGAATAAGTCTCAGTTTGTAAGTCAACAAGAAGAGACCACTTAAACTAAATGATAACAAGTAAAAACTGCCAATTTCTTGTTCCCATTTGATCATTCCTATCTAAGAAATGATAGGATGAATGACATAGTTACAATTGTTGGACTAACTGAGTATTATACATAGAGCAATTCCCTACAAGATGTCATGCATGACACATATCTTTTTATTCTTTAATCCATTTATTTTATCAAACAATAAGAAAATCTCTTAATTTGATCATTGAATAACAAACTGTGGTAATACCAGAAAGAACCATTACGGTAGTCAATTTCATATAAAGATAGTGTAAAGTTTTTAATAAAATAAATGGATAAATGTCTAATACCGGACACATCACAGAATTGCCCTTATATTTTAGCAAAGTGAAAGTAACACACAAATTTAAATTAAAAACTTAATTTAATGAGCCAGTTCATAGTTGCAGTCTGAGCATGAGCAGAAAGAAGTCATTGTAGATCAAATTGTGAAATTCACGGAGACAAAATAATGGACACATTCTCATGAAAGTTATGTAATCATTATTCCTTTATGCACAAGCAGTGCACTCCATGATACACAGGTGGATGTTTTCTTTGAAAAGGGGAAATGAAGGCTATTTATGTAGCAACTCCATTGCTGTAGGAGTGTTTATTCTAAAATGTACAAAGTCGGACCTCTTCATGTTTTGAAGATCTGTGGATATTCAGAGTCATTTAGGACATGTGCTATTTAAACCGTGAACTGGTCTATTCACTTAAAGCTAAAAACCAGTTATGGTCATGCAATTGCATAGTGAAAGAAACATTGTGAAATCGATCAGAAAAGGTTTATTTAGCATAGATGTACTGCAAGGTTCTGGAATCATCAAAATTATAAGAAATTTGGCCAAGTCTTTATAAAGTTAGAAACACTGTACACAGAAAGATGTATATGGGACTACACACACGTGGGCGACACGTGCATTTGTATCTCTCAACAGTATATAGATATACTAATTTACCAAATATATCAATTAGTAGGCGGTTTCGTCATGTAATATTCAAACCATATTCTTTCACATGATTGGTAATAAGAGCTTCCATTTCATTTTTTGAAATTGAGGCGCTTCCAATACTGGTCTTTACCTTTAAGTATATTTTGTATCTTATTTATTTGTATGTTCACTTCACCCAAATAGTCAAACTGCAAATTTAATGAGTTCCATTTGTATTCTGTATCATATTTTTGTAAAGTACTTTCATTTTTCTTTCCCTTTCTTTTTGCCAGGCATTTAAGGGATAGTTGAGTTCTTTTTTAACACCACGAATGCCTTCAAAGTGCATTGTTATTGCTCTTATTCTAATTTATGGCATTTCTAGTGCCCTTTTAGGACCTAAAATAGCTGAAACCAAAATGTGTCAAATTTACATTAAATACGATCATACCAATTCAGCTCCACTTTAAAAAAAATACGGTGACTGTAATTGATAATGGTTATGCGTATTATAACCAACACGAAAAAGCCAACAAAAAGCCTACCAAAAGCCTACATTGGCATTGGCTTGAAAATACAAAGACAAATTTTCATGCAAAAGTTGCCAATTTGATGAGGAAAAGCTCATTCATTTAGATCGTTAGAAAACTCTGAAGTGCTACAAGTATGACTTCCTGTACATACTGGAAGACCCATTGACATGAGCTGTGTCCAGCAATTCCCGGGGCACTGAAGCATGTAAAGGATACAATTGGTCACGTTTCATGCAACCTTCCTTTGTATTCTTCAGGCACAAAGTACATTAATCAGCATTCCAAAATCTCTGTTTTTGAGGTCAGACCCATTTTGGATCAAAACATCCTGCTTAGATTGTAATGAATTCCACAAACACAAATTTACACATTGGTCATGATAGTATTCATATGAAGAAACTTTTGTTTTGTGTTATTTGATTAAAAACATTAAATATTGCAAGAAATTCTTACTCTTCATCATCAGAGGCTTGGTTGCTACCTGTAAATGACAAAAAAAAAATCAAAAATCAAAAATCAAAAATGAGTTAACAATTTCAATGAGAGAAAAACAAAATCATGATAGTTTCTTTTCTTAAGTAAGCAAGTAATTCAGATGAGTATTAAGCTTACAATTACATAACATGTCAGTGTTATATATTATTTATTGTTTCTATAAAGTTTGATCGATTTTGATTAATTCTATCAACTTCCAAAAAATGAATCTCCCTCCCCCTTCATCTCATTTAATCACAGCTACATTTAACAGCAACAAAGACAAATGGAAAATTGGAAATTCATCATGTAATAGTCTGACGCACAAGTGGAGACTAAGTTTAGATACATATGTTTGTGAACACTTTGAAATTATGGCAGTTCAATATACAGAAATCAAATACAAAGTATCTATGGAGTATGATGACAATATCCTTACAACACGATCAGTATACTGTAAAAACAGCCAGTCCTCGAATATTAAAGCAGTCGATATCTCTTTTTTATATACCGAATTGACACAAAAATCTACCAAGAATTCTGACCTTATCCTTTTATTGAGTAAACATTGGTAAATATTGGTTAATACATCACAGAAAACCTAAGAAACTGTCTGTTTATCTTTGCTCAAAAAATTACTGAAATTTTCGATCAGTTGGGAATCGCAGACAAAAAAACACTTTATGATGTCCACGCTCATTCAAAAAACATTTTAACACCTAAACCGATGGGTATCGCAGCAAAATTGTATTATTTTCCCGGTAACCAGAATTTTGAGGGATTCTACTCTTGGGACTATTAAACGGTTTTCGCACTTTTCGTTTCTTTACGGGAATGGCTAAAATCACGGCTCCAATTTCGACCAATCAGATGGCTGGATTTCTTAAGTGAGGTATATAATCAAACAATGAAAGTTTCTTACCACTGCGGCTGTTTCCCTCACTCTCTTGTACACGACTCTCCACATCTGGCACAAGCTGCATGGATTGCTTGTAAAACATGACAGCTGCAAGAAAAGACATACAACAATCTTAATAAAATACATAAAGATTTTAACAAATTATACATGATAAGGTTTTCTTGGCTTGCTTGAAGAAGAGTGCAGATTGGATTGGAATATAATACTGTCAAGTTATGATGAATCTAAGGTAAAATATGAGGTATTATATCCTGCATCAAAAATGTATTGGTTTTTGATCGGTTGAGAGCTCGTCACATTTTTCTTCAAATCTTAATTTAATAATTTTGTTTCTATTTTTAATTCTTTTTTAATAAAAACTGTAATTTTCTAAATTTTAAATTTTCTAAATTCCAATAATAAAAAAATTGTTTTAAATTGTATTTTCTTCTTTTTTTAAAATAATTTTTTGAATGGCATTACAATAAGTATTACAATAATCATGGACACACACAAAACAAAATATATTTCTTACCTTCATACATTCTGCCATTCCTCTCATGCTTCACACCTTGCATGAACAAATATTTGGCCTGTAATAAAACATGACAGAAATAATACACAAGTTACAACATTTCTGAAAAAATAAGCATTTAATTATGGTAAAGATACATGAGGACTAAACTAAAATTCTCCCATCTACACTGTACTTGTAATTTAATGCATTGCTACAATGTAAATGTATGTGAATGTACAGTACCCATGTAATCTATTCAAACATATTTGGGGCATATCGGGTATTGGGTAGCGGGACCACCGATTACATCGCTAAAATGTGATATTTTAGGATATATTTTCCATTGCAAATGTGGTTCTTCAGTGACTCTGGCATGGTATGGTATGTGTGGGATATGTGATATGCTATTATGCGATGTATTTTAAAGGGATTTTACCATGCGTCCAATGGATCGGCCGAAAACTGGAGCTGTCCGATTACCGGCTCCTTTACTCTAATTATACTCTGCCTTTTGAAAATTTGTGATCTGCCTTCTCCAAATAGTATTCTTTTTTGCAAAATAAGCATAATAAACAACTTTCGAAAATGAATCATACTGACATTTTTGCAATGCAACCATCCAATAACAGCAACGATATGTCTGAGAAATTTCAAGCAGTTTTCATTGATTAAGGGTATACCTTTTCTTCTATCGATTCTGTCAAGAGAGAAGAAATCTCCACATCCGTCTCATCCTCCAACTCTGGTGATGGACTCGCGCTGTTACTCCTGGCATCCCCACTGCTCTTCACCGGAGCAGTACCTGCATCATTTCTCTGCTCCTGTCCTTTAGCTGCATTTACATTCTTCTCAGACCCTGGGGCTGGACTACCTCGGAGGGCTGGACTGCCACGGCTATCCCCTGGCCCTATGGGCGCTTTACCCAGCTCTTGGTGCCATTCTTGTCTGAAGTTGGTGAGCTGTTGTGCTAAGTTTGGCTCCTCTGGATTTCCTTTGTCTTCATCTGCGAGTAACTCAAACATCTCCTCCATATCGGAGTCATCTCTGTCGTCATTCAGAACGGGAATGATTTCATTTTCATTCGCCTGTGGGATTCATAACAACAGAATAACATATTTTTACATCCCTACGTAAAATTCAGAATAGATTTACTACCGACTTGATAACAAATAGGCAAGATAAAGAATAGGAATTCACCAATCAATTTGAAACAATCTTCAACTTTATATTATTGTAAAACTTAATCAGTATTCAGCAGATGTGCACTTGAAAGGGATACATGTATACTATTTAATAAGTGCTAGCAATCTGGACATGAGACTATTATGTCACACACATGTACATGTAGAATAGAAATACATTGCGCAGTCATCCGATCTTTGACTTTTAGTTTTAGTCATAAGAATTTCAAATTTTCAATTAGCAAGCTAGCAGCCTAGCTAGCTATAGATTCTAGATCGAGTCTTCTGATTGGCGCCTCAAATGTCGTGGGTATTCTGCAGTTAAGCCGAAATCTGTAATTAAAATTAAGTTTCACCTCCATGTGAAATCTGCAACGTATCTGCAGATTTTAGTCGCCCTCAATCATTCGGACATTCCTCCAGCTCCCACCGCTGCGCCACCCCCGCAAGCCGCAGCCGCCGCCCACTCAACAATCACAATTTGCAATATGTGGGACTAAACCTCTGACATTTTAATAAAGCAGATATTTCTGTACTTGATTTACTTGCTAAAACATCTTTATCACGACCCCTATTTTACCAGAAAACATAATTTAATTACCATCGTGTCACGGTAGGCCTTGCTCGCCTTTCAGGCCTCTAGTTCACGGTCTGTATAGCGAATTACGGTTCCAAAAACAAGTGCTTTCTTAACAGCGGCCATCTTTGTTGTCGTGTGACGCAATCGCTTGCAATTTAGTTGACGTTGGATATATACTGACCTCGGAAATATTATGCCCGTTATACCCCCTTTATATACCGTGTTCTCAATTTGTTTGCTTTTTGTTTGTTTGTTATTGCTGATTTGGATTTTGTTGAATATCTCTTGTTTTGTAAATTATTGTGTTTGTTTTCCTTTTTTTCTTCTGTATAAAGCCTATACCAATCATTAATATTGTTTGTTTGTTCATCTCTTTTCTCTTTTGGGTAATTTTTTTTTGTTAAGTTGACGGAGGAGGCATAGGCTATATGCGAATCATTAAAAAAAAAAAAAAAAAATCTGTCCATTTCATTTGTTCCCATCATTTCTTTGGTGGATCCAATGGGAGCTGGGACAAAGAGACACTTCTCTGACCCCACGGCAAAATCCAATCTGGCATAGCTCATAGGTCGATCGACCACGGTGATATTATATTGAACAAATAAAGAGTGTCCCCATCCCATGTAGCCTTATATAATCTAGCTTTCTGTAGACAACTTGTTATGACAGCTCATGAGACCTGGCAGACATTGCTGCATGTTTTTATATATCATATCTCTGTATGTGAATATATTTAGCTATTTTGTTTCTCTGTAGACTACATGCCAGCTCATTGACACTTGCCAGAAGAATTACCGTTTGTTGCCATTAAAAAAAAAAAAAAAATCCAATTTATATGTGGATATTTTTTAAACTTTGTTTCTCTACACTTTTTGTCATGCCAGCTGGTATATAGTTGCAATGATGCCAGTATTGTGTAACACTTTAAAGATATGTATTCATAATTATCTATAGATTTGTCTTAGTATCTATTTGAACACATCTGAGACTATTCATGTTTGACATAATGACAATAAGTCCGATATAGCTGCCAGTAATATTAACACTTTTCTACATTGTTATGGATCTGGACTTATTTATGTATACCTTTGCCTTGAACTTAAACTTGATATGTATTCACAGTATATGCACATTTTTAAAGAATGTTGTATAGATGCACATGTTTGTCATGACATCTCATTGAAACTGTCAATATAGCCTTGCTACCGGTATTATGTAACACTTAATAGTACTTATACAAGTATTCATTTCACACCCCTTTTCTGTTTGTTATGACAACCACACTTGCCATATAACTAGATCTCGCTGCCAGTGTATTGCAAATATCTAATATCTGTGTGTGTCTTTTTTAGACCGCATTTTATATTTTGTAAAACCAGTAACATTCCATTCAAAAGATTGTTGACTCAAAACCTAAAGAATGTAGTGTAAAGTATAGCCTAAGTCAAACATACAAGACCTCCTAAATGTTGAACTCTCTCTCTCTCTCTCTCTCTCTCTCTCTCTCTCTCTCTCTCTCTCTCTCTCTCTCTTGATACTTGATGTGGTAATCCCTGAAGCAGCTTTTCCAAGCTATACTGGGATGGGATGTGTTGTGACAGCAGGTGAAGGTGCAGACAACAAAAGGGTGTACAATTGCTTTATACAGTAAAATAGTGACGTGCAAGTAAAAATAATCATGCTGCTATATGGTTTACAGCATTCTGGAACCTACAGGAGGTTCCAACCCTCTGATGACAGGGAGGGCGGTCATCTGGAAAGCAGCAACTGATGGGGCAGTAACTGCAGTGAATGGTAGTTGATTCCAGATGCGAATGGTGCGGGGGTAAAATGAGTACTTGTAGGAGTCGATTGTTGCCTCAGGAACAGAGAGCTTGAGTGTGTGGTCTCTTCTGCTGATGTATGTAGCTTTGGTTATGAGGTGAGGAAGACAAATGTTGACTAGCTGGTGGTGTATTTTAAAGAGCATGGTGCTTTGTGCTAGAAGACGACGTGTGTGCAGTTTATCCCATCCCAGCTGGGAAACAAGCCCTGTAGCTGACGTGGATCTTCGGTAGTCGCGGAAGACAAAACGAGCAGCTGTTTTCTGTACCCTTTCCAGACCTTCGGCAGCACCAGAAGTGTGAGGGTTCCAGGCTTCAGCGCCATACTCTAGCTGCGGTCGAACCAGGGCTGTGTATGCTCTTGACTTCACATCCTTGGTGCATGGTGACAGGGTTCTCCGCAGCAACCCAAGGGTTTTGTTGGCCTTGTTCAGTAGGAGTTGGCAGTGTGTATTCCATCGAAGGTCCAATTGGTTACAGTTACCCCGAGATACTTGTACTTGTCTATCCTGGGTATTATCTCGTTGGAAATCTGGTAGTCATGCTGTATTGGTGTTCTTTTCCTCGTGATGGTAAGGGAGGCGCACTTCTTGACATTGAAAGCCATGAACCATTTCGCTGACCAGTCAGACAAGGTTTGAAGGTCTTGCTGAAGGATGGAGGTGTCATTCTTAGTGTGAATTTCTCTGTAGATCACACTATCGTCAGCAAAAAGGCGCATCTTGGACTGGATATTTGCAGTGATGTCGTTGATGTACAGCAAAAAGAGGGCTGGTCCGATCACTGAACCTTGAGGTACCCCAGAGGTAACAGGCATCCAAGATGACCGGGAGCCCTTGACAACAACTGCTTGCTGCCTGTTGGAAAGTAGCGACATAGTCCAATGTAATGTGTCTCCTCTTATGCCATAATGCTCGAGCTTGGTCTGCAAGTGGCGATGAGGTACTCGGTCGAAAGCTTTCTGGAAGTCAAGGAAGATGACATCTGTTTGGCCTCTGCATTGTAAGGTGTGTGCCCAATCCTGGGTAGCAGAGATGAGTTGTGTGGTGGTGGAAAGTTTCTGCCGAAATCCATGTTGGTCATCTACCAGGATGTTGTTGGCAGCTACATGTTTCGAGATATGGCTGAGCACTATGTGTTCCATTAGCTTGCTGCAGATGCAGGTCAAGGAAATAGGTCTGTAATTTCCTGGATCACACTTATCACCGGACTTGTGGATGGGTGTTACCAATGCATGCTGCCATTCAGCTGGAACAGTGCCAGAGTTGTAGCTCTGCTGAAAAAGGAATCCTAAGGCAGGAGCAATCTCGTCAGCTACAAGCTTGAGGAGTTTAGGTGGAAGTTCGTCTGGCCCACAAGCTTTGGATGGGTTGAGATTTGACAGCTGCTTTGCCACACCAGGACGATGAATGTGTAGATGGCCGATGTCAGGAAAGTGTGAGGAACCTTCCATACGAGCATGACAAACCTGTTGGTTGGTGAATACCGAGTGGAAGAAGGAGTTGAGACACTCTGCTTTGTCTTTGTTGGTCGTGTGGATGCCTTTGTCAGATCTAAGCGATGGGATTTCCATATTCTCAGTCCGACACTGCTTGACATAGGACCAGAAGGTCTCTCTCTCTCTCTCTCTCTCTCTCTCTATATATATATATATATATATATTATATAACAAATCTATCCTTTTGTGTATTCTGGTCTTCCTGTAAAGATTTAGGATTTAGTATGAGAAATAAAACAATACATCAAAATCGTGGAATCTACTGTCTGTCTGTGTGTGTGTGGGGGGGGGGGGAGGGGGCGTCGACGGTGCGTCGGTGTTTATTAGGAGGCCATCATAATGTTCGACGCCCTTTGATGAAATCAATATATATATATATATATATATATATATATATATATATATATACATAATAGCTCTATACAGAGCGAATTTATTTTCCATTTCTTTTTCACATAATATAAACAATAACAAAACAATAATAAACGTAGTGGTATAACAGAAATAAGCATTGAAATATCTTTGACATTGTTTTTTAGTCATTGTAATGCAAAATGATTTAATAACAAGAAATGAAAAAAACGAACCTACTTGAAAGCAAAGCTTGTTAGATGTAGGTTCGCACAATAATAATAATTATACTTTATACATTTATAACTTAATTTTGAACGAGACAGTAAAATAATTTGTTTCAAAATTCATTGCCATCACTCGAACTTTATTATTCAAAGCTGTTGCCATACAGAAGCGCCCTCTAAGATCAATGGAGAAAATAAAATAATATGACAACGCTCATCTCATTCCAAGCACGTGAGTTGAGATTATCACAAGTCAGGCATATTTCTGAAATAGTAATTGGATTTGTAATGTATAGATCTGCATAACTTAGTGTATAATACTACTTTTCAACCAATGTGTTTTGGAATATATTTGTTTGAGCAACTAACCGGCCCTTGTAAACTCACTCATGGATTGACACCCAGGCAACCATCATTATTTTTAGTGTTTGTATAAGAGCTTAATAATCAGAGCATGGTGCTTATAAACTCTCATATTTGAACTAAGATATTATTTTTTCTATTTTTCTGTTTTATAAGATAATATCTTAAGTCTCTAATATCTCTGCCTTTCTCTAATCAGCATTATCAGCATGCTAGGCCTTTATAATGAAGATACCTTGATTTTAAAAGCATTAATTTATCTTCTTTTATTAAAGCCCCTCTATTGTGATCTCCGTTTTTCATCAGGGGATGTTGCTTTTTGACATCGAATCTATAGTTTGGGCTCTGCCTCCTGTGCTATATAACTATCATTGTTTTCGTTGTTATCATAAGTTGAGGCCTGAAAATTAACTGTAGAGCATGATCTTTTAAAAAGGACCTATGCGGAAACTATAAACTGGAGCGTCTCTATTTTTTGTGCTTCGCAGGTCAAATACAACAAAACAAAAAGGAGGCTCCGTGCTTACAGTCTTGTTCTCGAACTTTGCTGTATTGAAGAAAAAGATGTTGCTCTTAATTATCATAATTATAATGATAATAATAGGCATTTCTATAGCGCCGTCTATCTAGAAATTCTATTCGGTGGTGCATTTATTATTAACCCGGCTTTAGCCTATTGGCTAGCTGCGATTATACAGCGCTCCAGCATTTCAAGGAATTAATTCCCGCCAGGTATACCCATTTACCTCACCTGGGTCGAGTGAACTGATAGAGCTGTTCTTTTAACACACCATTCTGCGGCTCAATAGTCATGTTACTTCTCCATATAGTAATATTTTTATTTAATACTACAGCCCAGGCAAAAATAGTCCGACCAAAACCAGATCAGATCAAACTATATTGTCGAATTCTTTAATTGTAAAACCGTCTGTATCTCATTTTATTAGACAGCTTCTTAATGGGTCAAATTGCATGCAGCTTTAAGTATC